TTTTTCATGCACGAACAACTGGAAAGGTTTAGAGATGTCTCGCAAGGCTAAGGCTGGGGCTGTAGTCAGGGCAGTTTTGAGCTTGTCAAAAGCTCGTTGCTCTACCTCTGTCCATGTCAAGGGTTGATTTCCTCTAGTGCAGGCATTCAGGGGCTTGGCTATTTAAGCAAATCCCAAAATCCATAGCCTGCAGTACCCTACTGTCCTAAGGTTCTCGAACTTGGCGTTTTGTGGTGGGGGTGGGTATTTGCAGCACTGCTTGGACTCGGGTGGGTGCCAGTGCCTGGTTGCCCTTCTCTGTAATATAGCCCAGATAAGTAACTTTTGGCTGGCAGAGTTAGGCGTTTTTAGCTGAGACCCGGTACCCTAAAGTCTGCAGGGTTTTTAATAATGACTGGGTGGTTTCCTTACAGGCTTCCTGGGTTTTTGTAGCCAAAAGTAAGTCATCCACATATTGGAGCAGGGTACATTCTGGGAACTCAGTTCGGAAAGCAGCAAGGTCTTGGCTAAGCGCCTCATCAAACAGAGTGGGGGATTTTTTGAACCCCTGAGGCAGTCTTGTCCAAGTGAGTTGCCTCGAGCCTCCAGTTTCAGGGTCGGTCCATTCAGAAGCAAATATGGGCTGGCTGACCGGGGCCAGCGGTATACAGAAGAATGCATCTTTCAGGTCCAGGACCATGTAGTGGAGGTGGTCCGGGGGCAATAGACTCAGGAGGGTGTACGGGTTTGGGACTATGGGATGAACAGTTTCTACCCATTTATTTACCTCCCTCAAGTCCTGTACAGGTCGATAATCCTTTGTGCCTGATTTTAAGACTGGGAGTAAGGGAGTATTCCAGGGGGACTTACAGGTAGTAAGGATTCCTCCTTCCAGGAGTCTGGTTATATGTGGAGCAATTCCCCATCTGGCTTCCTGGCTCATGGGATATTGTCGTACCTGGACTGGAGTTGCCGTTGCCAATAGCTGGACCACGACCGGGGCGCGGTGATTTGCCAAGCCTGGGGGATTTGTCTCAGCCCACACTCCAGGTACCTTTTCTTGAAACTGGAGGAGGTCCGATGTCGGAGGTTGATCTGCCTCTGAGGATAAAGCTTCCTGCAAGAGATACTCGTCTGACAAAGCACAGGTGATGAGGATTTGCTGAGGTGGCCCTGATGCCAAGGAGGGAGGAATTGAAAGGCAAGCTTGACTCTCACAAAAAGAAATATTTGCTTGAATTTTGTGGAGTAAATCCCGTCCTAGGAATGGGTATGGACACTCTGGAATAACTAAAAAGGAGTGAGTGACAGTACCGTTCCCCAGATCGACGAGTCGGCTGGTGGTCCAAGGGCTTGATGTGGTTTTTCCTGTGGCCCCCTGAATAATTGTTTTTCTACCAGACAGTGGTCCCAAAGGCTGAGTAAGGACTGAGTGGGCCGCTCTGGTGTTGATCAAAAAACTGACAGGTGTGCCCCCAACCTTTAAAGTGACCCTGGGCTCCTGGGGGCTTAGTTGATAAGAGCCCGGGGTCTGTCAGTCCCGGGTTTCTAAGCTGAGAATGGCCCTTGGCTGCCCCTCCTGTATTACCTCTTGCCTCCTCCTCTCTGGACACTCGTCTCTCCAGTGACCCTCTCTCCGGCAGAATGCACACTGGTTAGGCCCTAGCTTGGGCCTTTGTCTCCTTGGGCCTCTCTGCTGGATTTCTGGTCCCCTTGAAGTAACTCGGGCCTCCTGACCTCTAATGGAAGCGTGGGTTTCCTGGAGTGCTGCTATCACTGCCTTAGTAATTCTCTTACCTTGCTTGGTTTCTAGGGTGTCCCTATTGTTAAAGACTTTTTGGGCAATTTCCAACAACTGAGCTAGATTCATTCCTTGGAACCCCTCTAATTTTTGCAGTTTCTTTTTAATGTCTGGGGCAGACTGGGAAACGAAAGCTAGATTGACGGGACGCTGATTCTCTGGGGCCTCAGGGTCAATGGGGTGTAGGTACGATAGGCGTCCTGCAGGCGCTCAAAGAAAGCGGCTGGGGATTCCTGTGGACTTTGGGGTTACGGTCCCTACCCTGGAGAGATTGGGAGGTTTCTGGGCTGCCCCCCCAACCCCCTCTAACAAATGCCGGTGAAAATTGTTCAAGGCCTGCATGCCTGTTGTGGTGTTTGGGTCCCATTGGGGCCTGGCAGAAAGGAAAATTTCATTAATTTGTTCCTGGCGGTCTTCTGTTGATCCCCGCCCCCCCATCCCCCCAAGTATTGCTTTATGAGCTTCTTGTCTAATTCTACTTCTCTCCTCTGTGGTAAACACCACCAAGAGCAGCTGTTGACAGTCGTCCCAGGTTGGACGGTGGGTTTGTAAAACTGACTCCAGGAGTCCTGTGAGTGCTTGGGGCTTTTCAGAAAATGGAGGGTGTTGAGCCTTCCAGTTTATACAAATCACTAGATCAAAATTCTCTAATTCTACATCTCTACATTAGACATAGGTTGATTGATAGTGGGCAGAAGCCTCTAGTTACTCCCCATGCCTTGAAACAGGTAACGGACATCTCAAACATGTGAAGTTTAGAGGTGAAAGGCTGCTTGTTGCTGGAATGGCTCCTCTTTTGATATCTCATGGGGTTTTCAGGTTGGAGTGCAGTGGTGCTATCTCAGCTCACTGCAACCTCTGCTCCTGAGCAGCTGGGACTACAAGTACCTGCTACCACACCTGGCTAACTTTGGTATTTTCAGTAGAGGTGGAGTTTCACCATGTTGCCCAGGCTGATCTCAAATTTCTGGACTTAAGTAATCCACCCAATTCAGCCTCCCTAAGTGCTAGGATTATAAGCATGAGCCACTGTGCCCAGCCTTTTGGGGTATTTTTGGATGGGAGAATGGGTAGTATTGGCTACAAGCCACTGGAGTTGCAACCAGAGTTGCTTTTAGTCAAGCCAGTCCGAGGCAAGCCAGACTCCTTAGTCCCTTCCATCCCTAAGGAGTTTAGCACCAGGATTTTCCTTTATGTTCTCACTCATTTCCTTTCACATACCTCAGGCTCCCACTTCCCATTCAACATTCACTGGGGACCTCCATTACTGCAAACAGCTCCTGAATACCAAAACTGCTGGGGGTAGAGCAGGGAACTGTTCAAAGTATAGATGTCAGCCCATCTTTTGACAATAAAGTCTAAAATACATCGCATTTACATACCTTTTGTACATTTCTTTCTTATCACTGTTCCTGCCCATATACAGAAATCTATTTACTCATTTTCAAATAATGTATCTACTTTGATGCTTTAATTACCAGACAAAGCCCACCTTTTTGGGAGAAGGTATAAGTAAACAGATTGACAGGGTGACTATCCTACTCAAAGCCAAGAAGTCAACATGTACAAGCCTCTCAAAGGTTCATTCTTCACACCAACTGAAATAAGGTATTATTAATTACTAAATAGGCTTCTTTCAAAGTGTGTTGACACTCATTTGAAAGAAGATTGAGATAGTTTTGTCTAAAGGATTCTCTATCCAGCCACAGGCAAATGAGATTCTGAAACAGCCTTAGCACAGTTATTTCATAATCCCCATCCAGTTTGCAAGATGTAAAATTAGTCCCTGTCAGATTATGAAACCAACTATGAAACTTGCAAAAAGGCTACCCAGCTTTGGCAGACTTCCTCCTGGTAGCTGGGTGCTATTATAGAGAGGGTTACAGTTTAGCTTACTAAATGTATTTCCATTAACCCTTAAGACATACTGCTTCTACCAGATTCATCTTGCCCCTAACCCAGTTAAGTGTTCACCTGGAAAAGTAAACTGTAATAGCAGATTTTGCCTCTTTAAAGGAAGAATCAGAAGAGCCATAACTTCACAGTAAATTTTCTTCTTTTGAAACACATTTTGTATGAGTATCGAAAGTTATATGAAAAACAACTCTACCAGTTCATTATCAATTGAGCCTCACATACATAATATTTTCATCACTGTTCACTGACCGACCCTCCACATAACTGTCCAGCTGTCTTCTCCAGTAAAGATATCTGATACAAATTCACAAAAGCCAAATCCTGTTTCATCAGTTGGATTAACTATAAGTGATGTTTCCAGATTACTTTTGTCTTTTTTTGTCAGTTAGTTTATCCTTACGTTATTCTTATAGATATACTGGAACTAGAGATGAATCCGAGCTTTTAAATTGTACTAAATTTAAGCATGTTTTCTCTAAGGCTTTTAAACAGAAAATGATCAGTATTTAAAGACTTTTGGTTTAACTTTTTTTAATAATACTCTGAATGTACTTCTGTATTTACTCCCATCCTACTCCCTTCCTTAGTGGATATTTTGCTAACTAAGTAGTTGAGAAGGAAAAAGGAGAAAATTCTTATTATAGAAAAAAAGAAAAACCAGGAAACCAGCTCTGTCATTTAATGCCAAAAAAGGAGGCCTTAGAAGAACAGCTATAAAGGTGAGAACTTTGTTACATGAAGCATGCTCACTATTTACATCTTTCTTGGATTTTACTTCTCAGAAATAATTCTGTTTGGGGTATTAATTCTGTGAGTAAAATACTTTTAAAATCTAGATGTAAGTCTGGTAAAAAAAAAATAATAACCAGCATTACTCACATTTTAAAATGTCACCTTCAGTCTTTTCTGATGATTTGTATTATGATCTCAACAGACTGCCATAACACATTTCACACAATTTGACCTCAGAGAACATAATGTTATGTAAATGCTTAAACAATACCACTGTTGAACGATAGTTAGTTAGGCTCCTGGGAACTGTGATAATTCTAGAGATGGCTCAGCTACATTTCAGAAATTGCCTTTACTACAAACAGCTTAATTTTTTTAATGTAAAAGTATTCATATGATCAAAGCTTCAGGATGTAATTTTCTTACTGATCCCAATATTTCAAAGACATAATGATGCTCTATGATACAGAAGACCTGAAATTTAGATAGAAAGCAGCCCTAAGAGTCAAGACATCCTTTTTTTCTGCAGATAGGAATATGAGACTATTTTGTCTTGCCAAATATCACAAACTTTAGTTTTTCAATTTTCATTTATCAGTCATGATATGTACAAGAAAAACAGAAACACAAGAAACAAATTCCTTTAAACTACATTAATAACAAAGATGAACAAAATGGCACAAAATCATCAGAAAAACTCCAGAGTAACAGTAAGTATCAGTACTTACACATTGGAGTAGGCTGTTAGCATAATAAAGCTAACATATAGTCACAGAAAGACAACAGTATCAACGATCAAGATACTATTTTGCTTCAGTACCTCCTCATTTTGGCCTGGGAGTTCATCAAGCCCTAAGTGGCTGGATTCTGTTTTTCTCCCTCCCTCCCTCATGCTTCCAGCCGTTTCACACTGGGGTACCACTGTAGGAGGCTCCTGGATGTAGCTAACCGTGCGGCAGCACCTAAGGCAGCAGTGGCTGTACTCCGAGGAATGTAGAGCTTCTGGGAAATCTGGCACTCATGAGACAAAATCAGTGACAGCTGGTCCATGGATTCTTGACTCTTGTCTTTGTACACTGTAATAGCACGGCTGCTAGAAAAGTCTTCATTCTTTAGGATCTCTGGAGAGCTTTCCACTGGAAAAGAAAGAGTACACAAATGTCTTTTCAAGGGGTTCTCATACTCACTGCCTTCTCTCTCCCATTCTAGTTCAATACTAGTATGTGTTACAATCACGTTCTGTTAGGTAGTGACAATTACCAATGACGAATCAGAGCAGGTAAGACGCAGAAACCAGTCAACAAATGGAAGGGAAATGGGAAATCATGCATTGAGATAAAATAAATCTTGTCAGGATGAAGTGAGAGAGGGAAAATATACTTATGAACAAGGAGGATGATTTATGTCTAGGAAGGTCATAAAAATAAATTGGATGTAACAGGCATCCCAGAGAAGAGCCCGTAAGTGCTTCTCCTTCCTTCCAGCACTAAGCGGAGTGGTATGCCACAGGCATTCTCTTTATTGTCAAAGTTGTTCCAATTCCAAGTCTGCGCCTGTATAAAAATAAAACCATCCTAGATTGTGGTTGCTAAGATGTCCCCCAAACCAGTTACCAGCCATAAAATGAATGTCTAAATAATTAGTTTTAATTAAGAAGAAATAATAATCCTTTAAATGAAATTAATGGCTAGAACTCTGATGCTGAAGATTTCCTAATAGTCAAGGGAGGAGATGCTAAGCACTCTGAGATGTGTACTAGTAGCTGGTCTATAACCCGCTTATTACCTGCCTTATTACCTTCTTTCACTGTAGTGAAAGAAGCCGCTTTTTCTGGCATCTAAACCAACACATTGCTTCCTTCAAGAAAGTCCTGCTTAAAAAAAAAAAAAAAAAAAAATTCAGGTGAGCTACGCAATGTGTTCAGCAATGTAGCTGACTGCATATTCTGGAACAAACTCCTTATAGCATGGTCCACCCCTGCAAACCCTTCAAATTGGCACCAGTATGTAGACTACATTTTGAATAGCACTGTTCTAGATCTTAAAAAACACAGATTTCAAAAATTCAAACAAAGGGGCATAATTCATTATTTTATTAATCTTTGCATCTTTAGCATCTAGCAGAGTAACACGTGGTGTATGTTCTATACTTTTGTAATGAATTATGTTCAAGAAAGATTTGACAATGTATTCCAAAAAGGGAAACTTTGTAAAACTACAGTGTCTACTAGAGAGGAAAAGGAATGATTATTTTTATTTAAATAATGTGATTTCACACGAAGTCTTAGGTGAGCTTGGATATTAAAAGGTATGACAAGCAGGTACACATGACCAAGGAATTTAAGAGTAGCAAAATTTCTGCTTTCAGTCATGGAGTTATTCAACAAGATTATCTACTCTCTTGCCTTACACAACTAGAAAACTAGACAAAACGTGTGAAACAAAAGCTTTCAGACATTGAACAAGCATCCCAGAACAGTAACCCCTGAGAGAAGGCAAACTATTAGTGCTTTAGCTCACTGCCTAAAAAGACCTTTCAGGCTGTAGTATGAGGAGGAGGAATCCAGACTGAACCAGGTAGTCTGAGTTAAGAAAACAGAGTTCAGAATTTGGAAAGGCCAGGTGTCTAGAATTTATGGAAATAAAGTACCAGAGAGGAGGCAGCTGCAGAGAGAGAGAGAAGAAACTGAGGATCTGCTAAGAGATCTCCTTGAGTCCTGGACTGAATAGTCATCTGACTCCTGTGTGTGTGAGCAAACTACCATGGCCAGGGAAAAACTACCAGAAAGGAGCAGGCAGAATAATCATTAGATCTTACATTAGGGAATAATCATTAGATCTTAACATTAGGGCACAACGGTTTGTGTTCTCGCCAGCCACAGTGGAAAGACATCCTAACACATGCAACATCAAGTCCATCAATAATCTCGGAGGGTATTAGGTATTGCTTAAATAGCAGGGCCAAACCAGACCTGGACCACAAACTTTTCCAGACCAGACGAATAAATCCAACAGAAACACTGAAAGAAAAAAAATGGGGGGAGGGGAATTTAGCTGCATCTCCCCACCCCAAAAAAGACAGACAGGAAGAAAGGCAGAAAGGGAAGAAATTAACCCAACACACATATACACCACAGAATATTATGCAGCCATAAAAAAGAATGAGTTCATGTCCTTTGCAGGGACATGGATGAAGCTGAAAACCATTATTGTCAGCAAACTAAAAAGGAACAGAAAACCAAACACCGCATGTTCTCACTCATAAGGGGAGATGAACACTGAGAACCTATGGGCATGGGGAGGGAAACATCACACACTGGGGCCTGTCGGTGGGTGGGGAGGAAGGAAAGGGATAGGAGGGAAGTGAGTGGCCAGGGGAGGGGTAGCATTAGGAGAAAAACCTACTGTAGATGACAACTTGATGGATGCAGCAAACCACCATGGCATATGCATACCTATGTAACAAATCTGCATGTTCTGCACATGTATCCCAGAACTTAAGTATAATTTTAAAAAATAAATTAAGCCAATAATGTAAAATTCACAGTGTCTGGCATTCAATAAAAAATTACCAGATGCAAAGAATGTATATGACCTGTAATCAGGAGAAAAAAAAATCAATATAAACAGATTCAGAAATGACAGATGATAGAATTCAAAAGTTACATATATGATAGAATCACACGACAAGGGTATTAAAACAGCTGTTTAAAAGGCACTCTATTCAAGACGATAGAAAGGAAAACATGACTATAATGTGGAGAAAAATGGAAGATATAAATAAGACCCAAATCAAACCTCTAGAGAAGAAAAACACACTGGGCCAATTGCTGTGGCTCATGCCTGTAATACCAGCACATTGGGAAGCAGAGGCGGGAGGATCACCTGAGGTCAAGAGTTCGAGACCAGCCTGGCCAACATGGTGAAACCCCGTCTCTACCAAAAATTTTAAAAATCAGGGGGACGTAGTGGCACATGCCTGTAATCTCAGGTACTCAGGAGGCCGAGGTGGGAGAATCGTGTGAACCTGGGAGGCGGAGGCTGCAGTGAGCCGAGATTGTGCCACTGTACTCCAGCATGGGCTCGACAGAGGGGGATGGATGGACAGAAGGCTGGCAGGCAGGCAGGGAGGAAGAACGGACACACTGAATTAGAAATTGAACAAGATGACTAGTAACTTGGAGACACAGTAGTAGAAACGAACTAAAATCAGACACAGCAAAGACAGAGTAAAAAACGGCCTACCACATATGTAACTGCAGTTAAAAAAAAAAAATTAATTTTTTTTTTGGGCCCTGTGGACCAAATCCACCTAATGTTATAAATAAATTTTAATTAGAACACAGCTATTCTTATTTATTTACCTATTATCTATGGCTGTTTTCATGCTGTAACAGCAGAGTTGAATAACTGCCATAGATCATATGGCCTACAAAGCTGAAAAGATTTTTTCTGTTGGCTCTTTACAGAAAAAGTTTGCTGAATCCCAATTTATACATTGGAATGAAGAACACTGGAATGGAAAATATGTGAGTAAACATAAAAGACTTCTCATTTTTAATTTCTTTAAAAGATAATTGACTAGAAAGCAAAAATAACAAAAATTGGATTATTTTTGAAATCTAATACAAGAATTGGATTGTGGGGTTTACAACATATTAAAGTAAAATATATAACAACAATAGCTAAAAGGCAGGCCCAGGAAAAGGGAAAACTTTTAATGTTATATTTGAAGTGATATAGTATTATCTGGAGGAGACAATTTAAGGATATATGCTACAAACCCTAAAGCAACCACTAAAAAAGAAAAAAACTACCTAGCCTCATACAGCAAAAGAAATAATTAGCAGAGTTAACAAGACAACCCACAGAGGTCAAAAGTTCGAGACCAGCCTGACCAACATGATGAAACCCTGTCTCTACTAAAAATATAAAAATTAGCCAGGCATCATGGTGTGCACCTGTAATCCCAGCTACTCGGGAAGCTGAGGCAGGAGAATTGCTTGAACTCAGAAGGTGGAGGTTGCATGCAGTGAGCTGAGATCGAGCCACTGCACTCCAGCATGGATGACAGAGCAAGACTCCATCTCAAAAAAAAAAAAAAAAAAAAAAAAGATATAAAAATGGTCAACAAGTATATGGAAAAATGCTCAATATCGCTAATTATCAGGGAAATGGAAATTAAAACCACAATGTGATACCACCTCACTTCTGCAAGAATGGCCGTAATCAAAAAAAATAATAGATGATGGTGTGGATGCGGTAGAAAGGGAACATGTTTATGCTACTGGTGAGAATGTAAACTTTTATAACCACTATGGAAAACAGTGTGGAGAGCCCTTAAAGAAGGAAGATTTACCATTTGATCCGGGAATCCCATTAACAGGTATCTACCTAGAGGAAAAGAAGTCATTACATGAAAAAGATACTTGCATACATGTGTTTATAGCACAATTTGTAATGGTAAAAACATGGAACCAGCTCAGATGCCAATCAATGAGTGAATACAGAAAATGTGGTGTGTGTCTGGGGGTGTGTGTGTGTATATATAAACATATATATGTGTGTGTGTATATATAAACATATATATGTGTATGTTTATGTATAGTATTCCATGGTGTGTGTTGTGTTTGTGTGTATATAAACATATATATGTGTATATATACATATATGTACACACACACACACACACACAGACACACAACACCATGGAATACTACTCAGCCATAAAAAGGAACGAAATAATGGCATACACAGCAACCTGGATGAAACTGGAGACTATTATTCTAAGTGAAGTAATTCAGGAATGGAAAACCAATCATCATATGTTCTCAGTCACATGTGGGAGCTAAGCTATGAGGATGCAAAGGCATTAAAAATGATACATTAGACTTTGGGGTCTCAGCGGAAAGGGTGGGAAGTGAGGGCTCAAAGACTACACATTGGGTACAGTGTACACTGCTCAGGTGATGGACACACCAGAATCTCAGAAATCACCACTAAAGAACTTACTCAAGTAACCAAACACCACCTGTTCCCCAAAAACCTATTGAAGTAAAAAAATTATAAAAATTTTTTAAAGCATGTAATTTATTCTAAGGATTTTTACAAAATGGTTAATGAAAATTATACATACATAAGAAGTACAGTATAAGTGAACAACTTACGTTCCAATTCTTTGTTGCAAAACAAAAAATATAGTATGTGTATAGATTTAATATTGTTAAGATGAGAATTCTCTTCAAATTCTCCTGCCTCAGCCTCCCAAATAGCTGGGATTACAGGCTCCTGCCACCATGCCCAGCTAATTTTTGTATTTTTAGTAGAGGTGGGGTTTCACCCTCTTGGCCAGGCTGGTTCTGATCTCCTGACCTCATGGTCCACCTGCCTCGGCCTCCCAAAGTGCTGGGATTACAGGAGTGAGCCACTGTGCCTAGTCTCCTATGTATATATTCAATAGAAATAAAAACATGTATCTACAAAAAGAGCTGTGTGTAAACGTTCATAGCAACTTTATTGATAATGGACACCTAAGTTGCTTCCAGAATTTGACCATTAACTGGTAAACAGGTAAATTGTGGTATATCTATGTAACTGAATACTAGTCGGCAAATAGGAACAAATTTTTGATACTGGCACAACATAAATGAAACTCTAAAATATTATGGTAAGTGAAAGAAGCCAGACATAAAAACTACATATGATTCCATTTATATGAAATTCTAGAAAAGGGAAAGTAACATGCCAGAGGCCAGCAAGTAGGCAATGGGACTGACTGCCAAGAGGCACAAGGAAACTTTCAGGCTGATGGAAATGTTATCACGATTGTGGCTGTGACTACAAGACCATACATTTGTCAAAACTCAAAGAACTATATACTTGAAAACCAGCAAATTTTACTCTATATAAGTGGGACTCCCTCCAAAAAAAAAGTGCAGAAAAAAAGAAGAGTGGCAAAGTTCAAGGAACAATTGAGCCCAAACATAAAACAAGGACTAAACACAGATGCTAAGGTCCGTCATCTTTCAAGATATATTTTGAAAGAGATAAATGAAGATTTTTAGAACATGGCAAACCATCATGTTTCTCAACTGAGAGCATGCACAAGTACACACAAACCTACCAAAACCAGAGGGCTGTTCTGCAGAATCATCTGCTCCGGGAGTTGAACTGGATACTGCTGTGGAAGGCTGAGTTTGCTTCAGCTGAGTCTGACTGTTGCTGAGTTCAGACTGGCTCCCGTATGCTGACTGCTCTGACAGGGTAAGAGAGGTACAGCATTCTTCCAATTTGGGCAGTGTGGAAGAATCTGAAGAACCATTTAAGTCTAGTTGCTGCAGAATGGGAACAAAAGGGGCAAAAGTATGAAAAACAAATGTTAGTATAAGAATTAAGCCCTATTTCCTTACTTAAAAGCAAAATACAAGTATTTCCGTATCATAAAATGAAACTATCCACTTTCAAGAACCTATATACTCTCTAGAAAAAGCAAGTCCTCCTCTATCTTAATGAACATAAATTCAAAAAAACATTTACGGAACACATCCCATAAGCAACCATGGCATACAGTGCTACCATACAAAGGTTGGGAAAGAGGGGCAGGGCATGAGAGAAGTGATGCTCACCAAGCACTCTGGGTCAGGCACAGTGCTAGGTTATCTGCATGTGTTTCTTCACTTGAACATCAGAACAAGTGTCCTAGGTAGGTGCTACTGTGTCGTCTTCACTCAGCATAATGCTTTTACAGAATGGTTAAGTTATCCAACGTCCATCAGTAAATGGCAGGGTGTAGATTTGAACTCAGGCCAGTCTGTGCTCTCTGTGCTCTACCACGCCACCTCCCAGTCAGACAGGATCCGTGACCCTAAGGGCCTCTCAGTCCTCCATCAGGGGAACTGTGTGTGTGCAGCCTAGCCATGAAAGGAGGCAAGAGCTGCGTGTTCCTCAGAAGGGCCAAAAAAGCCAGAGTTTGGGAAAAAAAGATGAACTTCCACACTCAGACTGAACTTAAGTGAATGGAGTGCCAAATTTTAACCATTATGAATTAGACCCCATTTCCTACCATATACTCATTGCTGAAGTACGTGTACTCTATGGCCATTTACTAGCACTGATCTTTGGTGATGTCAACTGGCACTGACACGAGTAAAGAGGACCCCATCAGACTAAGCTAGGACAAACTGAACTAAGTGGTTTAGAGTCTGTGATCTGCCTAGAACAAACTGAAACAATAATTGTACAAACAGATGTAGGCTTGTTTTTCTGGCTCATATGTGACACACATTTAATATCAGCAAATGTTACTTCTGGGGCAAAAATCTATAGCAGCTTACTTTCAAAGATGGCTGGCATGAATGTGGCTTATATAATTATATAATATACAAATACCTGTGTGAATAACCTTTTTTGGTTGAAAAAACAATTCTAAAACTCCAGATAGCTATACTGGGCCATACAATATGTTATTTCAGGAAACCAAAGACCTAGACTCAAGTTTTTGCGTAGCTTATGCAATTCACATGTATACAAGAGCTACCCTTTATCATCATTTAAAATGAGGGTAAGAATCAGTGAATTCTTTCAATAAAGCAGCAATAATAATTAGGTAAATCAATATTTATTAATCTCATAAATTTTTTAAGCTGGGGAGATTACTAGTTCAAATCAGTCTTTGCAAGTGAGCAAACTCAGGGCATAAAAGGTAATTTGTTTCAATTTGCTAGTCAGTGGTCAAAACTAGGCCCTTGATTATAGCACTCCCAAGCCAGTGCTTTTTACATTATGCCCTACTGCCTATGTTCAGCTATTTAATAGATAACATACAGAAACATTTTTAAAAAGCTGTATCTTCTTTCTTGACAAATGTCATTTAAGAAAGATGCACTGCTGACACGTATTTAAGATGCATGCTGATAGCTTTTACTCTGAATTTTACTCTAAATTTGTATGACATTTGAAATCAAGTATGTGTAGTCAATTTAAGCCATTAATTTAAAAAAAAAAAAGGCTTTCCCTTCTAACAGTAATAAACAGCCTTACTACTCAAAAGTGGTATTCACTCATCAGCAGCATCAGCATTATTTGGAAGCTTGCTAGACATGAAGAGCTTTAGTTCCTACCCCAGATATGCTGGGTAAGAATCTGCACTTTAACAAGATTCCCAGGTGACCTGTATGCACATTATAGTTTGAGAAGCACTGCTCTACCAGATTCATTCTTCTGTAGTTGCAAATGACTGACTCCCTCACAACTGTTTGGAAATATACCATGATGCAACTACAGGTTAGTCTCAAAAACACGTTCATAATTTATGAAATATGAACAAAGTCCCCAACTCACCTCACATCTACTACAATGGCTATAATAAAAGATAATTACAATTGTTAGCAAGAACACCAAGTGCTGACATGGACAAACTGGAGTACTCTTAAATTGCTGGGATGAATGTAAAATAGCACCGCTGCTCTGGAAAGAAGCCTGGTAGTTCCTCAAAATGTTAAACATAGTGTTACCATGTTTATCTAGTTACATACTAAGATAAAAGAAAACATAGCAAGGAGTAAGAAAACAGCATAGGGCAGAACTCTGGGAGACACCACAGGGAGCAAACCTAGAAATTACGTCAGGAGGTAGGAGGAAAAAAGATCATGGCATCACAAAAGCCAAAGGAAGATTATGCTTTCAAGAAGGAATGCAAGGTTAATTTCAAATAGTGCTGAGCAATCAGGTACTGTAAGGTTAAAACATGTCCACCTATTTAGCAACATAAGAATAGATGGTAACTTGAAGGATAATCACTGCAGTATTGTTTACAGTCACAGAATCTTAGAAACAGATATTCATCAGAACTATTTAAATCAGTTACGGCATATCCATACTCTGCAGGAGTTAAAACACTGAGGTAGGTTTCTAAGTACGAATAGGGAAAGGTGCTGAATGGTATGTGTATTATGTTCTCATGCATGTGTTTAGTTTCTAGGAAGGATCCACAAGAAACTGCTTATGGTGGAGTTGGATTAGAAGAGGCAAGGGTATCTTATTTCTGTAACTTGTGGAACTACTTGAATTTTAAAATCCTGCAAATGTGGTACTTTTATAATTTTCAAAGGCAAAACCTGTTTGTCTACGTAGGGGATGAAAAACAAGTGTGGTAGCTAGAAAGGACTGTGGGATCAAAAATTTTTTAAATGTTTAAATTTTGTTTAGATGGAAGGTACATAAACATGTTTAAATGCTTATGAGAATGTGCCAGTAGAAAGAGGATGAAGATACAGACAGCAGGAGAGGACTGTATCCTAAGCAACTTCCAGTCCCGTCTTTTGGATAAAGGATATTCAACCTGCATGGTAAATACGGGGCACCTTAGAATAGGAGTAGAAAAAGGGGTGGAAAATGAAAACTTTCTGAAGAAATGTACCTTAAGAATACCTTAAGAAGTTCATGATACAGTAAAGATTTTACCTTGGTAAATTCTCTTCATGGGATATAAATGATAGTATAAAACTACATGACAGAAAGTTTGAGGGCTCAGATTACCTGATTTTAAAACTTACTAATTACCTAGAGTAATCAAGACAATGTGACACCGGTAGAGGAACAGACATACAGACAATAGAGTTGAGAGTCCAGAAATAAACCCAATCATTTATGGCAGCTGATTTTCAATAAGGAAGCCAAGACTATTTATAGACTCATCCTTTCAACAACTAGTGCTGGTACAGCTGAATGTCCACATACAAAAAGTTGGACTCTATCTCACACCATAAAAAATTAACTCAAAATGGTTCAAGGACCTAAATTTAAGAGCTAAAACTATAAAATGCTTAGGTGAAAACACAGGTGTAAATCTTTGTAACCCTGGGTCAGGCAATGGCTTATTAGGGGATACCAAGAGCTCAAGCAACCAAAAAATCTATTGGATCTTATTTAAAAACAAACAAACAAAAAAAAAAACTTTTGTGCTGCAACGGGCACCATTAAGTGAAAAAAAAAAAAAAAGCCAGAATAGTAGAAAATTTTGAAAATATATCTGGTAAGAGACTTGTACTTTCTTATTACATCTGAGTAACAGGAGACAACCTACTTTTAAAATGGGCAAAGGATCTGAATATCTTGTCAGAGAAGACACATCACCAGTAAGCAAACAAAAAGACACCCAACATCATTAGCAATCAGAGATACGGAAATAAAAACCATCATGAGACACTGTTCATATCCACTAACATGGCCGAAATCAAAAGGAGAGGTAATAAGCATTGGTGAAGTATGGAGAACCAGAACCCTCATACACTGCTGGGGGGAATATAAAATGGTTTAGTCACTTTGAAAAACAGTATGCCAGTTCCACAAAATGTTAAAAGTAGAATTACCATATGATCCAGAAACTCCACTCCTCAAGTTATATCTCTAAGAACTAAAACGTGTTCACACAAAACCTTGTACTTGAACATTCTCAGCAGCATAATAGCCAAAATGTGAAAGCAGCCCAAATTCCTACCAACTGATGAATGGATAAATAAGACATGGTATATCATAGAAGGGAATATTATTCAGCCATAAAAAGGAATGAAGTACTGGTTCATGCTATAACAAGGATGAATTTTGAAGACATTATTAATGCTAGGTGAAAGAAGACAATTGCACACCAAAAAAAACCACATACTGTGTGCCATTTAACAGAAAACAATGTAGAGACAGAAAGCAGATTAGTAAGTAGCTGCCTAAGGCTGTGAGAGGAGGGGGAAGGAGTATGACTGCTAATGGGCATGGGTGGTTTTTTTTTTTTTTTGAAAGGGTGATGAAAATATTCTAAAATAGACTGTAGTGATAGCTGCATAGCTAGCTGTGTATCCAAAAAAAATGTTGAATTGTGCACTTTAAATAGTGAATTATAATGGTATATCAATTATCTTTCAATAAAGCTGTTTTTTTTAAAAAAAAAAAAACTACATGAGAAACAAAATATAAAAGCCTACTTTATCCTAAAATTAAATTCATGCTATTAAGTAAGCTACATTTCTGGAGGAGACCATTCTATGAAATACAGAATGACTTTATTATTGCTGTCATACAAAGTAACCACGGTCTGAAGGAAATGTGTCACTTAGAAGGTTCATCTTCCCTAGATCTGGTTTTCAACAAGTCTTCTAAACTTACACTCTTTAATGTAACACACCAAACTAAAGAGGCCTAGCAGCCAAATTTCATGATTCACACAAACTGCCCTGCTGTTTTCAGGATGCTTGTAATATATTCAAGAAACACTGAAACAGATTCTATGCCAGGATTACTGCTTTCTGCCAAAGCAATGAGAAAGAAGAAATTAATCTAGATTATGTGACAGATAAAGAGCTTACAATTATGACTAAGTTATAGAAAAATCCCAATTTTCTACGAGGTTTAATCTTTTTTTTAAATTCTAGGCTCAGGATTTTCTTCTGAAGCAATAAGGAATTATGTTAAAATTCATTTAAAAATCAACATACATTTTATGTAATTCTACAACTGCTAGGAGAGGGGTCATTAACCACAAGTATTCTGGGGTGCAAATCCACTCATAACTCTAGTACAAAGCCCCAAAACTCAAATCTAACAACAACAGCTACAGCAACCTGTTAAGAGCAGGGAATATAAAAATATGTAAATTGAGACAATTTTGCTTTCTAAAAATGAAAGGATTTCCTTATGCAAACCTGCCCCAATAATCTGCATTAGACATTTACCTTTTGAATCTTGTTTGTGACAGTATTTTTTTCTTGAGCATCCAGTCCTTCTGGTTTATGAACTACTTTTGTTCCATTTACAAGGCCTGAAGGCTGCCAAGAATCATCCCATGTATCTTTGGGTGTAGAAAAACACCAATCCTATAATGAAAAAATGGCAACAATAGACTGAGGTAAAGTGCCACATGATCCAAAAAGAGGGTAACTTGGGCAAGATCAACGCAAGAAAGCAATGCATATTCAACAAAAAGGTATTTATTAACTTTCTCTATCAGTGTGACTTTACTCCTTGTTTTATTGGTCCATACCCAGTATCTTGAACTCTGAACACATGGATCTCCAAAATAAACACAACTGTTTTGTAGTCTTTTCTTTAATATCTTTTTCATGGCTAAATTTTTTTCATGATCATCTAGTATTTAAACAGCACAAACATGAAGGAGAAAAACTTCAGATATTTCTTACAGCCAGTGGGAAATATATTTTAAATACATATAGTTAGGCCTATTAGCAAATATGCTGACTCCAGAAATCCAGAGGTTGTATTACAATGCCAAAGCAACAATAGTAAAATTAGAGAAAATGGTTTCTTTATTCACAGATCCTAAGGGCCTTGACTGGGGGCTGATAAAACAAAAATCACAATGATTAATATGCAAAAATAGGCCTATGGTGTATTGTCCCATGATGAATCCTCTGTCCCCCTACATACCACTACCATTTTTTTAAATCATGTATTCTTTTGAATATGGCCTGATAAGTCCTTTTGAATTCCAGAACAGACAGCTTTCTTGAGACCTAGAAAATTAAACCAGTACTGATTGCTTTTTTTTTTTTTTTTTTTTTTTTTGAGAACGGGTCTTGCTCTGTTACTCAAGCTCATGGAGTGTAGTGGGATGATCTTTGCTCATTGCAACCTCCAGTTCCCAGGCTCAAGAACTGATCCTCCCACCTCAACCTCCCAAGTAGCTGGGAACACAGGTGCACACCACCACGCCTGGCTATTTTTAGTAGAGACAGGGTCTCACCATGTTGCCCAGGCTGGTCATCAACTCCTGAGCTCAAGTGAACCACCTGCCTTGGCCTCCCAAAGTGCTAGAATTACAGGCTTGAGAGGTAGTGCCTGGCCTGATATGCTTTCTATTATTCCAAGGATCTAACCTTCTGCGGCATTTCTTTACATGATGAATACTGATTCTTTCCACCAAGGCTTGCAGTAAATAGACGGGAGGCAACATCACCTCTTTTTCCCATCTTAGCCTGCACAGGTAACCAGTTCTCATCCCAAATATCATCACCTATGGTCACTGACTCCAGGCATGGCATTCCAGTGGGGATCTCATCCTAACATGTAACAGAAGACAAAGAAAAATTATCATTTACAGTTCCTATATGAGCACATTTTAAAATTTAGGTTTTATAGTTTTTTCCTGACTCCAGGTAAAGATGACAGTTTGAATACACAATTTACTACTTTCCCTCCTGCAATGCCACTGAAATAACAATAGAGATTTAAGATATAATCTTTAGAGTCAAAGAGAACAGAAGAGGAGAAAGCACAATCTACTTTCTGGGAAAAGGAAAGCAGACAAGTGACAACTGATTAAGCAGTCCTGAGAAGGTGGAATCCTGAGCTTGTGGTGAAAAAATTGAGAAGCAACCCAAATCTATACCATATATACTTTAAAAATTCATAAATATATACTACAAGGTTTTTGGAATTGAGGGAGTAAAATGGGAAAGAAAACAAGTGCACTGGCTGAAAGTCTGTGTAAGTAGGACTTAGATCTCCAGATACTCTCCCCTGTTCCAAGGACTCGGGCAACTACATCTCCCCTATCTGCCAGAAGACCAGAAATATTCTGGATGGTAAAACTGAGGATGGAACAAGCATAATAAAAAGTTATTAAGGAATGAAATGAAGGTTTTTATAATGAATAATGAGATCCCTGGCCCTCTTTTGGACAGCAGAACAGAAATGAAAGAATGCATGAACTGAAGATAGATCCATAGAAATTACCAAATCTAAACAAAAGAGAAAAGAAGATAGAAAACAAAAACAACCAAAAAATCCGTAACAGAGCCTCAGGGACTGTGGCATAATACCGAAAGATTTAACATTTGTGTCATCAGAGTCTCACAAGGAGAACATAAAGAGCATAATGCAGAAAAATAATTTGAAGAAATATGGCTGAAAAATATCCACCATTTGGTGAAAGACATACATCTACAGATTCAAGAAGTTCAACAAAACCCAAACTGGATAAACCTAAAGAAATCCATGCGACAGAATCTACTCAAGTTGCTGAAAACTAAAGACAAACTATCTTGAATGCAGCCAAAGAAAAATAAAACATTACTTAAAATAAAGGAAGAAGAACTTCAGTTACTGTGGATTTTCCATCAGAAACAATGAAGGCCAGAGAGAAGAAGAAGAAAACTGTTAAAGTGCTAAATGGAGAACATCTGGCAACCCAGGTTTCTATGTACAGTCAAAATGTCCTTCAATAATGATATAATAAATACATTCTCAATAAAGAAAACAGAGCTCATGGTCAACAAATCTACTCTAAAATAAATGTTGAAGGAAGCTCTTTGGACAGAAAGGAGATGATATCAACAGGAAACCTGGAACATCAGGAAAAAATCAACAGAAATGATGAATATCTGGATATATACAATATTCTCCTCTTGAACTTTTAAAGAATGTTTTTGAAGATGGAAAGCAAAAACTGTAACATCCTAAATTGTCAATGATTAATCCATATAAATTGTCAAAGGCGTAATATATAAGATAAAGATGGCAGAAAGGAAGAAGGAATGGGTAAAAGACTTAAATAGTATGGCAAGACACTGACATACCAAAGTGGTAAAAGTCAAGATTGACAATTGTAATTCCTAGAGTAACCACTAAAAACACTATACAAACAAATATAATAAAAAACATAGTAAAGTGGAATACTAAAAAATGTTCAAATAACCTAAGAGAAGGCAAGAGGAAGCAGATGAATGAAAATCAGGGAACAAAAAGAAAAATAAACTGGCAGATCTAAAATAAAAACATATATACAACCAAATTAACATAAATGGTCCAAATATACTAATTAAAATTCAGATTGTCAGAGTGGATTAAAAAATAATCGAACTAGGCTGGGTGTGGTGGCTCATGCCTGTAATCCCAGCACTTTGGGAGGCCGAGGCAGGTGAATCACCTGAGGTCAGGAGTTTGACACCAGCCTGACCAAAATAGAGAAACCCCACCTCTATTCAAAATACAAAATTAGCCAGGTGTGGTGGCACATGCCTGTAATCTCAGCTATTCAGGAGGCTGAGGCAAAAGAATTGCTTGAACCCAGGGGCAGAGGTTGTGGTTAGCCAAGATCGCAGCACTGCACTTCAATCTGGGCAACAGGAGTAAAACTCTGTCTCAATAAATAAAGTAAACAAACAAACAAACAATATGCTGTCTCAAGGAATTTCAAATACAATGATACAGCTTAGAAGTAAAAGGATGAAAGCAGCAGCTTCTCTGGTCCTTCTGGAATCTCCATCTGCTTCAGCCCACCTGCCTCCACTCTTGCCTCCACCATATCTATCAAGGTGACCCAGAAATCCTACAAAGTGACCACTTTGATACCCAGGCCTTCCTACACAAGTGGGCCCAGGTGCCCGCATCAGCTCCTTGAGCCTCTCCCAAGTGGGCAGCAGCAGCTTCTGGGGTGGCCTGGGTGCAGGTTATGGTGGGATCAGTGGCATGGGAGGCATCACCACCATCATGGCCAACCAGAGGCCTGCTGAGTCCCCTTAACCTGGAGGTAGACCCCAACATCCAGGCCATGTGCACCCAGGAGAAGGAGCAGATCAAGACCCTCAACAACAAGTTTGCCTCCTTCATTGATAAGGTAAGGGTCCTGGAGCAGCAGAACAAGATGCTGGAGACCAAGCAGAGCGTCCTGCATCAGCAGAAGACGGCTGGGAGCAACATGGACAACCTGTTTGACAGCTACATCAACAACCTTAGGCGGCAACTGGAGACTGGGCCAGGAGAAGCTGAAGCGGAGGTGGAGCCTGGCAACATACAGGGGCTGGTGGAGGACTTCAAGAACAAGTAGGAGGATAAGATCAGTAAACGTACAGAGATGGAGAATGAATTTGTCTTCATCAATAAGGATGTGATGAAGCTTACACGAACAAGGTGGAGCTGGAGTCTTGCCTAGAAGGGCGGACTGATGACATCAACTTCCTCAGGCAGCTGTATGAAGAGGAGATGCGGGAGCTGCAGTCCCAGATCCCGGACACGTCTGTGGTGCTGTCCATGGACAACAGCCGCTCCCCCAACATGGACAGCAACATTGCTGAGGCCAAGGCACAGTATGAGGAGATCGCCAACAGCAGCCAGGCTGAGGCTGAGAGCACATACCAGATCAAGTATGAGGAGCTGCAGACACTGGCTGGGAAGCATGGGGATGACCTGCAGCGTACAAAGACTGAGATCTCTGGGATGAACTGGAACATCAGCCAGCTCCAGGCTGAGATTGAGGACCTCAAAGGCCAGAGGGCTTCCCTGGAGGCCGCCATGACAGATAACAAGCAGCACGGGGAGCTGGTCATTAAGGATATCAATGCCAAGCTGTCCCAATTGGAGGCCGCCCTGCAGCAGGCCAAGCAGGACATGACGCAGCAGCTGCATACCAGGAGCTGATGAACGTCAAACTGGCCCTGGACATCGAGATTGCCACTTACAGGAAGCTGCTGAAGGGCAAGGAGAGCCAGCTGGAGTCTGGGATGCAGAACATGAGTATCCATACAAAGACCACTAGCAGCTATGCAGGTGGTCTGAGTTCCGCCTATGCGGGCCCTCACAAGCCCTGGCCTCAGCTATGGCCTGGGCTCCAGCTCCTTCAGCCACACCAGCACCACCAGGGCCATGGTTGTGAAGAAGATTGAGACCAGCGATGGGAAGCTGGTGTTGGAGTCCTCCAACGTCCTGCCCAAGTGAAGAGCTGTGGCAGTCCCTCCCAGCCTGCCCCTCCTGAGGCTGCCCCAGAGCCAGAGAGGGAGGCCCCAGTGCAGGGGAACATGGAGAAAAGAAGACCCACCTAAGGCTCAGCTCTAACCCTCACCCCACCCACAGGGGAGTTTACTGCCTGGGGGCCCCCCTTGTCTATGCCTCCAGCTGCAAAACAATTGTGGTTTTGGGTTTTTTTTTTTTTTTGGTCCAAAATAAAACCTCACCTAGCTCTGCCCATCCCTCCCCCTCCAAAAAAGTAAAGGGATGGAAAAAAGTATACTAGGCAAACACACACACACACACACACACATATAGACACACACACACGCGCGCGCATGTGCATGCACAAAAGCTGGAATAGCTATACTGATATCAGATTATGTAGACTGCAGTTCAAAAAAAGTAATTGTGAATAAAGACATATCATAATGATAAAAGGGTCAATTCACTAAGACATGTAAGAATCCTAAATGGATAACACCTAACAATAGAGCTTCAACATGCACAAGAAAAAAAACTGACAGAATGAAAGGAGAAATATACAAAATCCAAGATTATAGTTAGAGACTTCAGCGTTCTTCTCAGTAATCAACAAAATTGGTAGACAGCAAGTATCAGAAGAACTCAGCAATACCACCAATCAAATGGCTCTGACATTTATAGAATACTCCCCCCAACAACAGAATATATTTTTTTTCAAAGGCACACGGGCATTTACCAAGCTAGACATATCCTGTGTTGACAAAACAAACCTTAACAAACTTAAAGAACCGAAATCATACAAAGTTTGTTCCAAGGCCGTATTAAACTGAAAATAAGTAACAGAAAGTTAACATGAAAATTTCCAAACACCTGGAAATTAAACAATACACTTCCAAATAATTCATGGGTCAAAGATAATATCTCAAAATAAGTTATAAAATATTTGAACTGAATGAAAATGAAAATACAATGTTCATTAAAGTAAAATTTCATCTTAAAAAACAGAAAAAGCAAGCAAAAATAATCCCAAAGAAAATAAAGAAATCAATGAACTTGAAAACAGAAAAACAACAGATAAAACCAATGACACAAAAGCTTATTCTCCGGGAATGGGAAGTTCATTAAAATGGATAAATTTCTAGTAAGACTAACAAGAAGGGGAGAAGACAAATTGCCAGTATCAGGAATGTAACAGGAGATTATCACTGGAGACCCTGCAGATAACAAAAAGTTAATAAGAGGATACTATAAACAATGTTATACTTATAGTTGACAACTTAGATGAAGTGAACCAATTCCTCATTTTATAACTTAAATGAGTCACTTCCTCAAAAAACACAAAATACCAAGACTAAGCTAAGATAGTTGATTTGAATAATCCTGTATCTATTAAAGCAATTGACTTTGTAATTTAAATTCTTTTGGAAAAAGTCTCCAGGACCAGATGGTTTTATAAGGTAATACCAAACATTTTAAAAATTAACTTCTCTCCCTGAAAAAGAACCTGTATTTATGTAATCTTTTTCAGAAAACAGATGAGCGAATACTTCCAACTCATTTTATTAGGACAGTATCACTCTGTACAAAGTATACATCAATAAACAAAACGTGGTATATATACACAATGTAATACTAGTCAGCCTTTAAAAAGAAGGAAATCTTGTAATTTGTGACAAAATGGATGAACGAGGACATTATGTTATATGAAAGAAGCCAGACACAGAAAGACCAATGTCACACACCATCTCACTTAAACGTGGAATCTGAAAAAGCAGAATAAAATAGCAGTTACCAAAGGGTAGGAGGTGGAGGAATTGGGCAGATGTTGGTCAAAGGACACAAAATTTCAGTAGACAGGAGGAATAAGTTCAAGAGATCTGCTATACATCTTGGTAAGTTCAGTTAATGGAGATATATTGTATACTTAAAAATTGCCAGAAGAGATTTTTAAAAACTGTTTTCACCCCCCAAAAATAACAAATATGTGAGGTAATACATATGCTAAATAGCTTGACTCATACATGCTATAATGTATGCTGCAACATGTATATATTGAAACATGTTGTACATCATATACACAATTTTACTTGTCAATTAAAAAACTAAGAAAATTAAGATCCACACAAACAAAAAATAAATAAAAAGAAATACAATTCTACATAATCCTTACCAGAAAATAGCAAAGGGGTCAACATTTCCAGATTCATTTTATGAGGCCAGAATTACCTAGTACAAAAAGCAAAGACAGTAGAAGAAAGCTACAGACCAGTATCTCATGAAAACAGACATCGATTTGCAAATCCTAATTTGCAGACAACACTACTGATACAGAAAATCACAATAGGAATCAACAAAACACCCCCTAAAATTGATAAGTGAGGCCAGCTAGTTAAAAACTAATTTCTATATACTAGCAATTAAAATACAAAAACTGGGAAGATATTTATAATAGCTCTCAAAGTAAATGAAATAGGTAAGTATAAAACTAACAGAGCATGTACAGATTGTATATACTAAAAATTCTAACATTGTTGAAGAAATAAAGGAAAACCTAAATAAATAGGGAAATACACTATGCTCATGAACTAAAGTATTAACTTACCTCAAAATTATCTATATAACACAATTCCAATCAAAATCTCTAGCATAGAGAAGCTAATTCTAAAATTTACAAGTAAAGAAAAAGGAACCAAAAGATTTATAACAATTTTGAAAATGTATAAAATAGGAATCATACGACTAGATTTTAAGAGGTACTATATGAGGCTACAGTAATCAAGACAATGTGGTAGTGATGAAGACACATAAGTCACTAGAGAAGAATACAGAGTCTAGAAATAGACTTACAGAAATATGGACAACTGATTTTTGATAAGGCTTCAAAGGAAATTTAATGGAGACAGGATAGCCTTCTCAACAAAGGATGCTGGATCAATTGGACATCCACATGTAACAAAATGAAACCTGGCCTAAATTTCAGGTTAAATTAACTCAAGATGTCTTGACACTGGAAACACTTTCCATAACAGAAAACAAGTTGGTATGATAGGTTTTCTCAAAATTAAAAACTTCTGTATGAAAGACACTATTAAGAGAATGAAAAGACAAACTACAACTGGGAGAAAATCACCTTATTTGACAAAGAACTGGTATCCTGAATATATAAAGAACTCTCAAAACTCAAGAGTAAGAAAACAACCCAATCAAAAAATGAGGGAAAGACTTCAATAGAATTTCACCAAGAATTGCATATAGATGGCAACTAAGCACATGAAAAGATGTTCAACATCATTAGTTACTAAGGAAATAGAATTCACAATCATGCTGTGATACTACTACACACCTATTAGAATGGCTAAAGGAAAATTACTAACCATGTCAAGTGCTGACAAGAAAACGGAGCAACCAGAACTCATATATTATTGGTGAAAATGCAAAATACTACAGCCACTCTGGAAAAAAGTTTGACATACACTTATCACATGATCCAGCAACCTTACTCCTGGGTATTTACTCTAGATAAATGAAGCTTATGTTCACACAAAAACCTGTACATGAATATTTATAGCAGCTCTATTCATAAATACCCTAAACTGGAAACAACCCAAATATCCTTCAATAGGTGAATGGGTATATAAACTGTGGTATATTTATACTATAAAATACTATTCAGCAATCAAAAAGAACATATTATTGTTACATACGAGAGCTTGGATGAATCTCAAAGGTACAGAATTATATTGAATGAAAGAAGCCAGTCTCCAAAGGTTACAGACTGTATGATTCTACTTACATAACAGTCCTGAAAAGATAAAACTAGAGTGACACAAAATATACCCCAGACCAGTAGCTAGGGGTTAGGGATGTGGGAAGACGGATTACAAAGGAGTAGCACAAGGGAGTTACTTTAGATGATGGAGCTGTTCTACATCCAACTGCAGTGCTGGTTACACAAATCTACATATTTATTAAAGTTGATAGAATAGTACACCAAAAAAGTCAATTTTATTATGTGTTAATTTATTATAAAAGAAAAATATTAATATGAAATAAAAGTTATACAAGGGAAAAAAATGATGTAATAGTATACTATAATACTTGGCCAAGCTGTGAAAAGCATTTACGTAGTCACTGTAATGTAAATATTAAATAGTAATCTGATGAAAAGTTTGATATACTGTATCAGTAGGATGGTAAGGGGAAGGGACAAAAAGGTCATGTTTGTATGTCGTGGTGGTAAGGTGAGGAAAGAGAACTAAACCCTCATCTTTGATAATGGAAAATCCATAGATACTTAAAACTGAAAAATAAGGAAGTAGTAACATGAGGATGTTATTTAATGAAACAAACAGAAGTAAATTCCAAAAGCAGCTAAAAGAGAGAAACATGGACGCTCTGGGAAATAGGAAACGTAGGGGAAGGGGTCATGGGGGATCCTAAGTTTTGGGTACGTAAGCATTTGATTAAAACAAAAACACATCCTCCAAAAAAGTTGTATAAACATTTGTCCCAATGGGTTTTTCATAATATAATTTCCCAAGAATAGTTTCTAATCATTGTATAATTCTTGAAGACCAACGCAAGCCACAAGATTATTAACACATCAAAGCCAGATATCTTTTTTTGTGATCAAGGTTATGTTGTTCTAACTTTGGTCTTGGTTACTATGAACAATTTTTTTTTATTTTTTTGAGACAGAGTCTCACTCTATCACCTGGGCTGGAGTGCAGTGGCATGGTATCAGCTCACTGCCACCTCCACCTCCTGGGTTCAAGGATTCTCATGCCTCAGCCTCGTGAGTAGCTGGGATTACAGGCACATGCCACCATGGCTGGCTAATTTTTTTTGGTTTATTTTGTAGAGACAAGGTTTCATCATGTTGACCACGCTGGTCTCGAACTCCTGACCTCAAGTGATCCGCCCACCTCAGCCTCCCAAAGTGCTGGGATTACAGGTGTGAACCACCACGCCTGGCCCAAGAATTTGTAATATTAAAATCAATGGGGTTTAAAGGAAGTTTACTGCAGTCCTATTCACTTATGAATTCAGGGTATTATATTAATTACATAGTCAAAGACTACCTTTCCTTCACCTACCTCATTTTCTTCCTTCAGATCCTTTGGCTCTGGGTTGGACCACTTTGGATCTTCTTCAAAGCTCTTATTGCAGGTTTTCAAAGAATCAAATTCAGAATCCTTTAATGGCTCCTTTGACTCAGATTTCAGATGACTTAAAGACTTTTCATCATTAATATCTTGCTAGTAAATATGAAAGATAATTACTTTATTTTCAATATTACTGCTGTTTCCAAAATCTACCTGCCTATACATTTTGGGGCGATGCTTTTGCTACACTGTTTTGCAGAATACAAATGCAACATTATTTTATAGCTTTATCCATCATGATCCTAGGTCTTCCCATCCTGCTACACTAGTTCCAGCCAACGAACATCCACTGAGCCCTTATTATGAAATGCCTACAAGACAGGTCTGTGAATACAAAGATGAATGCAATAGATTCCAGCTCTAATGGAACTAAAATACACTGTGGGAAGACCTAGAATCAGTCTTCCGAGTACAGCCATTACAAAAATATGACCCAAATATGACTGATAGAAGAGGACATCTGAGAAGATGTAATGAAGAAGGTAACAAAAGATGGGTAGAAATTCACAAGGAACTGGGTGTAGAGGTGTAGGTGTGTGTGTGTAGCATATGGGAGTCTTAATATGTCAAAGTACAGACTGGGGTGGAATAGTAGAATTTTAAGCCCTTTCTCTTTTGCAGAAAAGATTGTTCTTATTTCGTTTCCAGGATAAAACTATGACTTTCTGAAGACACTAACAGAGTGACAGGATATTCTAAAAATAGTAAAGGTTGAATTCAATTTACTATTTAAGAATGAAGAAATGTAATTCTTCTAATCCAGTGTCAGTGACTAAGAAAAATTCAGGCTTCAGAAAGTGTTGGGCATACAAGCTTCATTAATTTTAACATTAACTAGAAATCTAAAATCTTTATATTGTTTTGAACATGCAGTATGAAACATCTGTACATATATTTTGTAATAGGTTAATCTCCCAGTAGTCAAAATGCCCTTTATTCTAACAATTAGTAAATGTCTACTTAAAAAATCATCTCTATAATTTTATTTTCAAAGTCAGATATCTGAAACACACTAAATAATACCTTTACATTCTATCCAAAAAAATAAAAAGACATTGTATCAATAAAACAAAACATTTTGGCCTTCAAGTTAAACACATCCTGTATTCTTAGCCCGGTACCTGTTGTCATGAGGAATATAAGACTTGGAGAACATTATTTATTTGCTCAAGAAACATTAAGTTCTCATGTGCTTCACTTGCCTTTTACAGACTGAGTACCTCTTATCCAAAATGCTTGGGACCAAAAGTGTTTCAGAATTTGGATTTTGAAATATTTGCATATACATGAGATATCCTGGGGATAAGACCTAAGTCTAACATGGAATTCATTTATGTTTCATATCTATGTAATATGCATAGCTTGAAGGTAATTTTATATAATTTTAAAATAATTTTGGGCGTGAAACAAAGTTTGGACTGCATTTTGTCTACAACCTGTTATATGAGGTTAGGTGTGGAACTTTCCACTTGTGATATCATGTCAGCACTTACAAATTTTGAGATTTTGGAGCTTTGCAGGTTTTGGATTTTTGCATTAAAGATGTACAACTTGTCTTTATAATGAAGATATGCAAATACAAACCTGGTAAGTTGTTGTAAAGATTAAATTAGTTAACACATGTGAATGCTTTTAACAGTGCCTGCCACGTGGTATAAGTTCAATAAATAATGCCGTTATTCTTATTACTATGAGCTGGAAAAATACATAGTAACGATATTATAATATTATTACTGTGAAGGGAGGAAATGCTGAAAGTTTATAGGGAGAGTAAGAAACAAGAATACCCGAAGAACCTGTGTACTGCAGAGGGAAGAAGTATAGCATTTAGAGTCAGTGTAGTGAAGTCACAACTGCACAAAGGCAGCAATGGACTTAAGCATGTGAGAGCAGTTGTTCAGGAGGAAGCATGACTGAAGCAAACATTTAAGCCAGCAAATAAAGAGACAAATTGTTAAGAACACTGTGCAAAATTTCCAAACTTTCCAAAATTTGGAAAGCCTTACTTTCTTCATCTAAAAAAATGAGGATTAAAGTAAAAGAATTATAATAGTATTTGCAAAAATCTCTTACCAGGATATGTAACTCACTCTCTTTTGGCTGTGGACTTATCATTCGGTCTTCATTAAAATAGTGCTGCTGGGAAGGATAACCCAGTTCTGTCAAGACAATGTCCTCTGGCCCTCCACTGGATTTTGTGTATAAAGCTAAAGGGTTGAGCTCACCGAAACCCTAAGATTGAAAAAAGAAAAGGGATAGTTTAATTTACATGACCAACAGAAAAAAGGTGAGAAAGCACTTAATAACTTTCAAATGCTATGGAAGTATATTATCTTCTGAATTTTAATAGTTAAAAACATCTCATATTGACAGTTTTTGTTTGAAAAATTATCAACATAACAGTGAAATGGATATCATTATCGATAACTGCAAAAAAGGAGGGTTGTTATTCTCTAGGACAATTTCAGAGAACTAAATATTTTTTAATTATTTAAAATAAAAACATTCACATTTCAAATGACAATTAGTCAGATGCAGTTTTTCAGTGGTCATCTGAAAATTAAGAGTGCTCTGCATTAAAAAGCCAGGAATCTCATGGATGTCTCTAATTGGTTAAAGAATAAACCAAATAAACTTCTTTATTAAATTATCTTATACCTTGAAGTGGTGAAATTAAACAACCTATATTACAAAATACATTCAGACTACTCTACCTTAGAAGAGACATTTTCTCGGCATACAATAGCATGGCCCTCTGTTCTTAAGACATGATGGAAATAGATATCTTCATTTGAGGATGTATCACACAAAAAAATGTTAAGGATGCCATCTACATATTCATCCACTACCCCCACTAATGGCTTCAAACCACACAACTTCTGGAACTGCAGAATAGCTTTTGATGTCCAGTGTTCCTGAAATACAATCAAGATATTGGATTCAGGTGATAGATCTAAACATGAATTACAGTAACCATATACAACAATGAATCCTGATAAACTAGAGATTTAAATGGGAATAAAACCATAAAACTACAAGAATAACATGTAAGAGGATAATTATGATTTAGGGATAAGTCAGAATAAAGGAAAAATGATTAAAAATGTGATTACTAAAAAAATTTAGACAATTATGTGATACAGTACTTGCATTTTCAGAAACCGTGAGTTAGATTATTAGACCAACCCTCCCATAGAAAAGAACAGAAAATTTTAGGTAAAATAGTTATTAAATATATCCAAAAGGCAACAAAGAACTGACAAGCTTGAACAAATTGTCAGGCCAAAATGGAAGGGAAAATGGGAACTACTTTTGTCTTAAGGGTACCTGCTAATGCAGGCACTTTGAAATTTGGTTTTGATAGTTGAACAAGACAGATATCAAAGACAGGGTCCACCTATGATGGGGAGTCTACAGGAGAACTTTCCTTCATTAAACCGAATCCCTAAGGAGATACTCTCTCAGGGTAAGGGAGGAAAGAAAGAAACTATCCCTCACAAGGATTTGCAGCTCAATTTTCACGTCACCAGGGTGGTCCACTTATCCTCAATTTGTTAAATGGTCCCAAACTGGTATATTTCTAGGCATCTGGCCGAAGCACACATAAATCCTCTCTGGAGCTAGGCAACCTCAGCCTGTATTATTCAACCGTTCTTACTGTTAATTTTTCAAAGACAATGAGCAGTATATAGGCAAAAATAAAAAGCATACAGGCCAAGCACAGTGGCTCACGCCGGTAATCCCAGCACTTTAGGAGGCCAAGGCGGGTTGATCATGAGGTCAGGAGTTCAAGACCAGCCTGGCCAAGGTGGTGAAACCCCGCCTCTGCCTAAAATACAAAAATTAGCTGGGTGTGTTGGCATGCACCTGCAGTCCCAGCTGCTCAGAAGGTTGAAGCAGGAGAATCACTTGAATTTGGGAGGTGGAGGTGGCAGTGAGCTGAGATCACGTCACTGCACTCTAGCCTTGGCAACAGAGCAAGACTCCACCTTAAAAAAATAAATACATACATACAAAGAAACAATGGATCAAAAAAAGAACAAACAGAAATAACAAATCCTCAATTTTAGATATCTTAACTTCTAGAAAAATTACAAAACTTACTATGCTTAAAGCCAAAAAACTCAAAGAAGTTTAGCCTGAAAGCCTCTGCAGAAATTAGCAATCTATAAAATTTATCTAGCAGAACTAAAAAGTTTTAGAAAGTAAAAACATAATAACCACATTTAAAACCTCTTATATCAATTCAGTAACAGATCAGAAAGAATTGAAGATTAAACTGGTAAAGTATGAGGTATTTTGGAAAAAATTTCCCAGAATGCAACATAGAAAGACAGACAGATGTAAAACACAGCAGAAAGGTTAAGAGAAATGAAAGAAAAACTGAGACCTTTTAACACTTTGAATTATGGTCCCAGAAAAAAAAGCAGCAGAAATAAGAACACAAATATGAATACAGAAAATAGACAATAACTGAAGAGGTAATAGTTGGGCATTTGCAAGATTTTTTAAAAAGTAACAAACCACAAATAAATGAAGTCTGATGAACCATGACGTAGCGTAAATAATAAATTCATACATAAACACATCACACTGAAGCTGAAGAACATGAGCAACTAATAGAAAATCTTACAGCTAGAGAGGCTGGGCGCAATGGCTCACGCCTATAATCCTAGCACTTTGGGAGACCAAGGTGGGCAGATCATGAGGTCAGGAGTTCAAGACCAGCCTGGCCAACGTAGTGAAATCCTGTCTCTACTAAAAATACAAAAATGAGTTAGGCATGGTGGTGCGTGCTGGTAGTCCCAGCAATTTGGGAGGCTGGCTGAGGCAGCATAATCACTTGAACCTGGGGGGTGGAGGTTGCAGTGAGCCAAGATCACATCGCTGCACTCCAGCTTGGGCAACAGAGCGAGACTGTTGCCATGGTGTGATCTTGGCTCACTCAAAACAAAACAAAAAAAACAAAAACAGTCTCTTTCTCAGAAAGGACATTACCACCTTCAAAGAAACATCTATTAAATTGACAGCTGACTGATCAGAAAACAGTAAGAGAAACCAGAAACCAGTAATGATATCTTCAGTGCGCTAAAGATACTAACTGCTAACCTAGAATTCTACACCTCATAAATACATTTTTTAAAATTACACTTTAAGTTCTGGGTACATGTGCAGAACGTGCAGGTTACATAGGCATACAAGTGCCATGGTGGTTTGCTGCACCCATTAACCCTTCATCTACATTAGGTATTTCTCCTACTGTTATTCCCCCCTAGCACCCCACCCTAACAGGCCCCAGTGTGTGATGTTCCCCTCCCTGTGTCCATGTGTTGTCATTGTTCTATTCCCACTTATAAGTGACGTGTGGTGTTTGGTTTTCTGTTCTTGTGTTGCTTTGCTGAGAATGATGGTTTCCCGCTTCATCCATGTCCCTGCAAAGGACATGAACTCATCCTTTTTTATGGCTGCACAGTATTCCATGGTGTATATGTGCCACATTTTCTTTATCCATTCTATCATTGGATGGGCATTTGGGTTGGTTCCAAGTCTTTGCTATTGTGAAAAGGGCTGCAATAAACACAACCTGTGCATGTGTCTTTATAGTAGAATAATTTCTAATCCTTTGGGTGTATATCCATTAATGGGATTGCTGGGTCAAATGGTATTTCTATTTCTAGATGCTTGAGGAATCACCCCACTGTCTTTCACAAATGGTTGACCTAAATTATGCTCCCACCAACAGTGTAAAAGCATTCCTATTTCTCCACAGCCTCTCCAGCATCTGTTGTTTCCTGACTTTTTAATGATTGCCATTCTAACTGGCATGAGATGGTATCTCAATGTGGTTTTGATTTGCATTTCTCTAATGACCAGTGATGATGAGCTTTTCTTCATGTTTGTTGGCTGCATAAATGTCTTCTTTTGAGAAGTATCTGTTCATATCCTTCACCCACTTTTTGATGGGGTTGTTTTTTTCTTGTAAAATTTGTTTAAGTTCTTTGGAACCATAAAAACCCTAGAAGAAAACCTAGGTTATACCATTCAAGACACAGGCATGGGCAAAGACTTAATGACTAAAACACCAAAGGCAATGGCAACAAAAGCCAAAATTGACAAATGGGATCTAATTAAACTAAAGAGCTTCTGTATAGCAAAAGAAACTATCATCCGAGTGAGCAGATAACCTACAGAATGGAAGAAAATTTTTGCAATCTATCATCTGACAAAGGGATAAATACATTTTTCTACGATAAGTGAAAAATATGTTACTTTTGGATAAACATAATTTTGCTACCAGCTGACCCTCATTAAATAAAATCCTAATACACAGTTCAAATGAAGAAAAATGGGTCCAGAAGGAGGGTTTGACTTAAGAATAAAGAGCAGATAAATATGTAATTAAATCTAAATTGACATTTTATGCAATTTCTTGGGGGGTCAAAAATTGTAACATTACACAACAAATACAGGTCAGAAGCGTAAAGGAGTTAAAGTGATCTAATGTCCTTGCATTGTTATACATGTCTTACTTCCTAGAGTAATTATTAAAATAATACAGTGTATTACTTAGTGAATTATCTTAAAAATCTCTTCAAAATAAGGTATGCATGGTGAGAACAAATAGATATATAGTATACACAAAATAAAGTATAAGATTTAAACCTAGATATTTCAATTATTACAATAAATGTAATCGGACTAAACATTCTGACTGAAAGACAAAAGGTATTAGCCTGGATTTTAAAAAATACAACTATATATAGTTCATAAGAGACATCGATATGAAGATATGAAAGGGTTGAAAGTAGAATAAGTTTAAAAACACACCAGGATAATATTAAATAGAAAATTATAGAGTTACATTAATATATGACAAAACAAGTTTTAAAGCGAAAAGCATTAGTAGAAATAAAGAGGTTAACTTCATAAGGATAAAACATCTAGTCTGCCAGGAAGATAAAACATTTTTGAAATTCTACATGTACCTAATAACATAGCCTCAATTGTATACAAAATAAAAACTGAACTATAGGAAGAAATACACAAAATAATCATAAACAAAAACTACACTTCTTTCAATAATTACAGAGAAGCACACAGAAAAATCAGAAAGAATAAGTTTCACCCAATAAAGTTGACCTTATGGTCATATATAAAAAATACTGCACACAATTGCAGAATGTACACTTTTTAAGAAGACATGACCATTTACAAAAAGTGATACTATACTAGACCATCAAGCAGCCTCCTCATATTTAAAGGGCTGATATCCAGAGGATGATTTCTGACCACAGTATATTTAACCACAAAAGGACAAATTAAAAAAATGTTTATAAACCAAGAAACTTCTAAATAATCTATGAATCAAACAAGAAAGCAAATATAAATTAGAAAACATTTTAACTGAACAATAATAAAACTACTACACAGCAAAACTTATGAGATCCACCTAAAGACTAGAAATAATCTAAGCTTGCACACGTCAGGAACTTGGGGAAAGAACAAAATAAACCCAAAGAAAGTAGAATTAAGGAAACAGCAAAAATAAGACAGAAATAAACAAAATACTAAAAAATGTTTATAACAGAAACAAGAAAGCCAAACTTGGTTCTTTGAACAAACTATTCAAAATGGCAAATCTCTCTCTCTTTAGATCCTTAAAAAAGACACAAATACATAGTTGGAGTGTATAAGGACGTATCACTACAGATGTCAACATCAAAAGGACAAAAAAATTATGAAGAATTTATGCCAAAAATGAAACTTTAAATGACATCAAAATAGTCGAGAAAGAATAAAAAATAAAAATTCTACTATAAATACATTTCAATCTTTTGTTGGAGTGGTGAAAGTTGAAACAAAATATTAAGATTAAAAAATTGGTCAAAATTTACAAAACAAGTGTTACATATAAACAATTATATATCAAGTTAAAAATTAAACTTTTGAATCATTTTATGATGTGTAGTCTTTTTATTTAATTATTAAAGTTTAAACCGCACTAAGACTTTTGGGATAAGTATCTACTATTACATTAACATATGCTATGAAACCCAACATACAGTATTATCAGCTTACTTTTAAAAGTTCTATGTCTTTCATATAAATTCAGAGAATAAAATTAAATCTTTTTTTTTTTTTTTGAGATGGAGTTTCGCTCTTGTTACCCAGGCTGGAGTGCAATGGCGCGATCTCGGCTCACCGCAACCTCCGCCTCCCGGGTTCAAGCAAGTCTCCTGCCTCAGCCTCCTGAGTAGCTGGGATTACAGGCAAGTGCTGCCATGCCTGGCTACTTTTTTGTATTTTTAGTAGAGACGGGGTTTCACCATGTTGACCAGGATGCTCTCGATCTCTCAACCTCGTGATCCACCCGCCTCGGCCTCCCAAAGTGCTGGGATTACAGGCTTGAGCCACCACGCCTGGCCTAAAATGTCTTTTATATTTGCTTACATATTAATCATTTTCCATATTCATCTTTCTCAGAGATCTGCATTACCGTCTGGTTTCATTTAACATCAGAATTGGAAGAACTTCCTTTAGTATTTCTTGTTCAAGATAGCTAGCGACAATCTCAGCTTTTACTTTTTGACGGTTTCTCCATTTCTTCATTTTGATAGATATTTTCACTAGATGCAGAATTCCAGCTTGACTTCTTTTTCTCTTTCAGACTTCAGTGTCGTTCCTTTTAATGGGAAGTTAGTTATTATTCATATTATTGCTCCCTGTATTTTCCGCCTTCTTGTTGCTTTCAGGATTTTCTCTTTTTGCTTTAGATTTCAGCAGTTTGATTATGATATGCCTAGGTATGGTTTTCTTTGTATTTATTCTGCTTGGAGTTTGTTGATATATGACCTCTTTGTGGAAATTTTTGGCCTTCCTTTTTTCCATCCTATTCTCTCAACTCTCTTTCTGGGACTCCAATTACATGTATGTGGTGTATCTGATCTTGAACCATAGATTTCCTTAGATCTCTGTCCATTTTCATTTTAATTATTTTTTATGCTCTTCTTCACACTGGATAATTTCTTTTGATCTGTTTTTAAAGTTCATAGACTCCTCCATTGTCTCCAAATCTGCTATTAAGCCTATCCAGAAACTTTTCATTTATTTCACTTTACAACTCTGGAACTTACATTTATTTTAAATAGTTTCTTTCTGCAGAAATTCCTTCTCTGTTCCTCAGTGATGAGTAAATCTCACAGTCCTTGAACATATTCATAATAGCTGGTTTAAAGTCCTTGTCTGCTAACTGCAATGTCTGGGACATCTCAATGTCAGTTTCTACCAGCTACTTTTTTCCTTGAGTATATGTCACATTTTCCTGGGTTTTGTTTTGCATGTCTAGTGATTTTTAGTTGAACAGTAAACATTATCAATATGTTTGAGAGATTCTGGACTCTGTCACGCTCTTCTCAAGAGTGGTTTTGTTTTAGCCAGCAATTAAAACTTTCTGGACTTAAAACTCCCAACTGTCTCTTCTGCAGTCTGCAGCGACAGAAATCTCTGTCCAGTCACCTCAAATGCCAGCTGTTGATTTTTCACCAGGGCTACTGAGTTCTCCCCAGTACTTAGAAAGTTCAGTCGTCACCTAAGGATTTGGGCAGATCATATATACTGATTTGGGAACTCATCCATTCTGTGACTCCCTACCTTCAAGTATTTCTACCCTAAATTCTAGCTGTTCTGCCATTTCCAAACAATGTCTTATAATTCTGTAAGACAGCAAGACTGCAGATTAAGGTGTACCCTCAGAAAAGAAGTTTGAAAGGTCGTATTGCCATTTAACTTCTGCTTTTTTTTGCCTACTTCTAATTTTGCTAATGGGCATAATAGTCTGTTGCTATTATGTTATTATAAAATGCATTAATTATTTTTGAAATCAGAAAAAAAGAAATAAAGTGAGATACATTCACTTAGTTAAAAACTTATTTATTGAGCAATTACCATGCACCAAGCCATTGCTCTGGGTACTGGAGATTCAGTGGTGAGCAAGCAGTTTCCCTGATTTCAGGGACTCACACTGTCATGCATAAACAAACAAGACAATACCAGATAGTGATAAGCATTATAAAGATACAACAAGGTTACAATGAATGACTTAAGTGAAGGGTTCATTTTTAATTGTCAGGTCAAAGTCCTTTTTGAGGAAATAACATTTGGACTTAAATTAGAATGACAAGGAGGACAACCATGAGATCACTGTGAATAAGCTATTCCAGTTATCCAAATGTACAAAAGCCCTAAGGCCAGAAGGAGTTTAGAAAGGAAGAAAGAAAGGCTGGGTGCAGAGGTTCATGACTGTAATCCCAGCACTTTGGGAGGCTAAGGCAAGCAGATCACTTGAGGCCAGGAGTTTGAGAACATGCTGGCCAACATGGTGAAACCCCACCTCTACTAAAAATATAAAATAAGCCAGATGTGGGGCACATTCTTGTAATCACAACTACTCAAGAGGCTGAGGCAAGAGAATTGCTTGAACCTGGGAGGTGGAGGTTGCAGTGAGCCAAGATCATGCCACTGCACTCCAGCCTCCTGGGCAACAAAGCCAGACTCTGTCAGAAAAAAGAACAAGAGAACAAAAAATGAAAGCTATCTGGCTGATATGAAAGTAATGAACACTGGCTACAATTGAGTCATAAATTGAGTTCCGTGCTTCCTGATGGCAAAATAGTAAAAAGAAATTTATTCAGAGCTAAAATGCACTCAAGAAAACAATATTGAATACAGACTTGCACAAAAAACATTTTGCATACATCGCTTCTAATAGTCAAAAATTAGAAGCAGTTTGAACATCAAACAATAAAAAAACGGTTAAGCAGGCTATGATGCATATTTACCTAACAGATAACACTATGAATCCATTAAAATTGACAGCTTAATAACACATAAAAGTACTTAACTCTATAATACTAAGCAAAAAAGCAGAATACAAAATATTATGATTACTATTTTAAGCAATGCTGAAAACCATACAAAAAACCCTTGCTCTGAACATCCAATAAAATAAACTGGAAGAAACATACACCAAATTTCTAAACTGTTTGTTTGAGTAGTGGAATTATAGGTAATTTTGTTTTTCTTTACAGAATTTTTCAGATAAAAAGTATTTTTAAAATAATCTATTTGTATGTGAGCAACTGATGAGTTATTTAGATTAGGCAGACAAATATGGCATAATAAATGTGTAGGCATGCACTAGTAAGACTTCTGAAGGTAAAATACAAAGTTAGGTACATAAGATAATTATAACTACATAAACAAATGCACCTACATACATGAAAATGCCTCCTGATCCATTCCACCTCAAACCTATGCCATGATGTTGCTAGAGAATTATCTTGAAAACGTGCATCTGCTAGAGAATTATCTTGAAAATATGTATCTGTCCATTTACATCCTTTAGTTGCTCCCCAGCCTCTAAAGGACAACAATGTTCAGACTTCTGAACATGGGTATTCACATTAGGCTCCTATTTCTTTGGTATTTTCTATATATACATATATAAATTATTATTATACTTTAAGTTCTGGGGTCCATGTGCAGATCTTGCAGGATTGTTAACATTGGTATACACATGCCAGGGTAGTTTGCTGCCTCCATCCCCCCGTCACCTACATTATGTATTTCTCCCAATGTTATCCCTCCGCAATCTCCCCACCAACCACTCTCCCTCCCCTAGCCCCCCACCCCCGACAGACCCGTGTGTGATGTTCCCCTCCCTGTGTCCATGTGTTCTCATTGTTCAACACCCACCTATGAATGAGAACATGCAGTGTGTGGTTTTCTGTTCTTGGGTCAGTTTGCTGAGAATGATGGTTTCCAAATTCATCCATATCCCTGCAAAGGACATGAACTCACCCTTTTTTACGGCTGCATCGTATTCCATGGTGTATATGTGCCACATTTTCTTTATCCAGTCTATCAATGATAGACTAGACATTTTCTACCATGTACCCAAGCTAGCTTATCCTATATTCTGTAGCCAAACAGAACTGCTTCAAATTTCTCCCATTTGAAATGTTTCATGCTACTCTCCCTTTGCTTGGAATGTCTTTTTTCATCCAGTTACATTCCTAATCTTCCTTCAAAGTGCCACTCAGATGCCTCCCCGATTACCTTGGACAGAAACAAGCAATCTTCCTTTATCATACACTCTTGAAACCTCTACTATAGCAAATTTTACATGGCATAACCATTTTTGTCTACATGTCTATCTTCCATACTCTATATACTGACTTCTTTGAGGGCTGGTTCTATGTTTTATCTTTGTATTCTGAGCATATAAAACTGTTCTTGGCACATAATAGGCACTGAAGTGTTTGCTGATTAAATGAGACAAGCAAACATACCTCTACTGGTCTCACCCAAGCCAAAGAACAAGGGATAGCCTGAGCTGGAAGCTTTGTGTAGCAGCACCTGCAATAGATAATCCAATATATAAGTTCAATCTTCCTGCTATGTAGAAGTACCTCTTAGCATGACCCAAAGAATCGCTTTCTTAGTAAGAAACTAAAATGTAGTCTCATGGTCCATTCAAAATTCAGTGTCATGTAAAAGACAATGCAAGTGTTACAATCCATCTGTGAAACTAAATGACCCAGTTGTTAAGTAAGCACTAAAAAGAAAGAAGAAAGGATTGGATGGAGGAAGGCAAGAGAAAAGAAAGATCAAAATCCCACAGATCTTCCACACTGTGATTCAAAATTTGAATTCATCCATTGTTCTAATTCAATTCAACTCACTTGAGGAACCTCAGGGAGGACTTCTGAACAGTCCCAACATTTCCAAAGTCTGGGTAGAACACTTCAACTTCCTGTTTCCCAAGGACTCGATGGATAATGACCCGATACCACCACTTATCCTCAGAAATCCTCACACAACAGAGATGTCCCGGCTGAATAAAACATTCCGGCATGACATATCGATCAGAAACCAGCTGATTAGAATAACAGCGCCTGTAGAATTCCGTAATACAGAGAAATCAACAGGGGAAGAAAAAATTAAAGATAATTTTTATCAATGTATCAAGCCATAAAGTCTTGGCGAAAAGCAAAGAGAAAAATTTTGACTTTGTCATATTGTCAGTATTCATTAATACCAATTAATTGTTTTTTTTTCCTTATCTGAATCCCTTCTCTTCATCAACAAACTTCTTCAAAGATAAACTTATACACTCATTTTCTGATCTCACATTCTCTGCTAGATAGGATGTATCCCGACTTCATTCCCCAGCACTTCCTAGGATGAATTAGTTTTAAGACATCAATGACCTGGTAATTCCCAAATCCAGCAGCCTCTCTCTTCAGGCTTCAATACGCATCATCTTGCTGCAGTGTTACCCTGTCCTCTTTCAAACCCTTTCCTAGTTTCTAAGACACGATGCACTACTTCTTTGTCAATAGCTACTTTTTTTTATTGGCTCTGTATTGCCTTAAATGTTGAGGTTCACTGGGGTCTCATCTTTACGAAGTATAACATAAGTTTAGGCACCAATAACCTGGGTCCAAATCCTGACTCCATCATTTACTAGCTGTGTGGCAATCTTTCTGTGCTTCAGTTTCCTTGCTGAAGATGAGGATGATAAAAATAAAGTATCTGCTAAAACATCTGAGAGTTTAGGACAGTGTACAAATACAGTAAGCACTCAAATATTAGCTATTATTCTTGCTATATACTGTCTCACCCATTTCAAGTCTTATACCACACTACTGATAAATTGTTAATTCTCAATCCATCTCTAGAAGACCCCGCATCCTTTCTGCACTTCAAAACTTGAGTATTTCCAACTATATGAAAGACAGGCTGTTGTTCCTCAACACCCTTTTTCCCCTTTCCCTTTCCTCTAATAATAGATTCCTCCAAATTCTAACTGGGTAAACGGCCATTCACATTTCCCAAGCTCCCCTGCATCTAACTGTGGCTACGTGAATACTAAATTCTGGCCAATGGGATATGAGGAAAAGTATACATAGTTAAGATGAGTACATGCAATGCGTATTTTACCCACAGTTTTAAGAGTGAAAATTCCGGGTTGTGTCTTTCAATAAAACAGGTGTCTCTCAGCCCCCACTTCTGTTTCCTCGTCCCACTAGCTGGAAGGAGGACCCGGACCCAAGACCACATGAACAAGGTCAACACACTATTCTGGAGCAGCAAGATTCTACACCTGTGTCTCTCTCAACACAGAGCTATTGTATCAGCATGCATTGTGTATATTTGGACTACTATGGGAAGAAGAAATAAACTTTTATCTTCTTTAAGCTACTACAGTGAAGTTATATCTGATGGTGGCTAAACCTAATTCTAACTAATACCATCTATTCAACATTGCCAATGACTCCCACGGTCAACTTCTATTAAGAAGTTTTCACCCCAGCTCAAACCTACCTTGTCTCTAAAGCAAACCGTTTTCATTGTCTCCTTCTCTTCTCAACTCCCGTCTTGTCACCTGACCATTTTCATTTTCCCAATTTCTCTCTTCCTTTCTATTCTTGCTCTCATCAAAGCTAGTCCACTAATAGTTCTTCGTTCCTTCACTCCATCTCCTACTCTGCAAGTAGGGGTATCTTCCTAAAATACAAACTGTTGATGTCCTTCCTTTCTTAAAAACATCAGTGCTTCCCCACTGTCTATAGAATAAGAGAAAACATCTTCCCATGGTATTCAGAATCTAGCTTTTTCTTAGTCTTCCAGCATCACATCCAGTCACTGTTTCCCCGTTCCTGACTCCTGCAACCTCACCTGGTGCTAACGTTACTCACTTATGCTTGTTCCCAGGGCATACCACTTACTCCTTTGTTAATGTTGGCCTTGGTTCCAGCAACTGGACCTGAATATACCCACTCACAAACTCCTTGACTGGCAAATGCTTTTCTTGTGAGACGTAGCTCAATTATCTCTTTTGTGAGGCTTTCCTCAACCTTGCCCAGGCAGAACAACTCCCTTTAACAATATCCCATGTATCTCCCATCTTCTTAGCTAATCATGTTATTCACAAAGGCAAAGACCACGTCTTACTTATCCTTGTAGTGCAAGTGCCTCAACATTCTGACACTAAACACAATACAGTATTTTTTTCAGTACATTTTTTACATTTACAGTTGTTGGGTTTTTGTTTTTTTTTTCCAAGACAGCCTGTTGCCCAGGCTGAAGTGCGGTAGCATAATCATAGCTCAATGCAGCCTCGAGTCTCCTGGGCAGCTGGGACTACAGACATGCACCATCATGCCCAGATAGTTTTTAAATTTTTTGTAGATACAGGGTCTCACTATGTTGTCCAGACTAATCATCAACTTCTGGGCTCAAGCAATCCTCCCACCTTGGCTTCCCAAAGTGCTAGGTTTACAGGCATGAACCACACTGTACCCAGTCAACAGTATTAATAATAATAGCAGCCAACATTTGGGCTAGGCTCTAAGTACTTTAATTTTCACAACTCTGTGAAGTAGGTACTATTCGCTCATTCTGGAGATTAGACAACTAGGCCCAGAGAAGTAAAGTAACTTTAAGGTCACAGAGCCAGTGAGTGTGCTTTTAAAACATGTACAAACATCTCATAGGCATACTGAATTGGAATACATAATATTTTTACCAAGTGTTTATGCTACTTACATTATGCCAGGTGTTCTGGAGTAGTTGAATATGTAATGTTGTCAAATTAAAAACATGGAATGTTTTTTGAGATACAAAATATTCTTCTGTGACAACAACATATAAATCAGACATTGTTCATGAATAAATCTAAAGTGGTTGAAAATGTCCACATTTTATATGGTGTTTGCTAATTTTGCTTTTACAAAGGACAGTTTTTAGTAGAGAAAAGAGATAATATAAGTCAGTAGTTCTCAAAGCATAAAATCACAAACATGACTTTTACCTGGAAGATGAACTAGCCACTTCTTTGATATCATTTTTGCTTGAAAGAACCACTAGCAAGTTATGTTTATTCAGCCTTGGGTATCTGACACAGATTTTTCAAAAATGAAGCAAGCTTGTTACTTCAAGCAAAACAAATCACAGTACACACTGTCAATGATAAAGAACAAACTTGCAAGTAAAAGGATTTTGGAAATGTTGCATCCACCACTGTTAACTTGACAGCTTCCCAAAACTAAATACTTTTCTGATGAGATCAATGATAATATTTTTATACTACGCCAGGCGTCCCCAAACTACGGCCCACAGGCCGCACGCAGCCCCCTGAGGCCATTTATCCGGCCCCCCTCCGCACTTCAGGAAGGAGCACCTCTTTCACTGGTGGTCAGTTAGAGGAGCACAGTATGTGGCGGCCCTCCAACGGTCTGAGGGACAGTGAACTGGCCCCCTGTGTAAAAAGTTTGCGGACGCCTGTACTACATAATGAAATGTGTCAACCATTTGGAAGATCTGCTTACTTCAGTGAACTAGTTATTTTCCAAATGACCAATACACGATGTTATAAAATTGTATGATCCACTCAGGGCTAGTTTGAATCCATGCTTAGAAGCAGCTTTGTGCTTCCTTTAATATTCTGCTGTTGCCATCCTGAAATTATAATTTTTAAACAGGGAGCCCTGCATTTTGATTTTGCACCAGGGCCAGCAATTACACAAGCCAGTCTTAGATCCATTCAAAGTGTAATGGCAGACCAATGGATTTTAACATAATAGAGTATGAAAAGTTCAAATTCCAAATAACATTTGACAAACTACCATTTGTCAAGTTTTGGCATACTATCAAAAAGGAATATTCACAATTTTCTGAAAAGAGAAATTTGTGAAAATACTTTTTCCCAAACTACATATTGGTGTGAGGCCAGATCTCTTCAGATACTTCAAGCAAAACAACATATCTCAACAGATTATATGCAGAAGCAAATATGAAAAATGAACTTTCTTCTATTAGGCCAGATATTAAAGAGATCTACAAAAATATAAAACAATGCCTCCCTTCTAAATATTTAAAGAAAAAAGTTTTCATAAAAATGTTCTTTATATTAACACAGGATTATTAAAATTTTACAGTTTTAATTTTTATACGATAAATACTGATAAACAAAAGCTCTCTTAGGTTTTTAATTTTTAAGAGTCCTGAAACCAAAATGTTTGAGAACTGCTGATTTAAGAGATATGTGTAAAACACCCTGAAAACAACAGACTCCTACCGCATTTCAATCATCATGTCTTCGAGTAACTCTGATGAATCCCTGCTATAGATCCGGATGTAGAATTGACTAGGAGAGATGATATACTCCACAAAGACCCCCACAAGGGAACTGGTGTCTAATGGTGGGAGTCTGCATAATTTCTTGTCACGCACAGCATCTGGCGGGATGTCATGATCTGCCATTGCCGGGTTGAGCTGTGATTTGTCTATTTCCACTTGCTGTAAGTTAGGGGGAAAAAAAACCATTAAAAATCTCTTGGTGACATTTCAAACCCCATGGCATTGTTCTCAAAGTATATTTCATGAATCACCTTTATTGGAATCACTTGGGATATTACAAAAATGCAGATTCTTAGACTCTATCCTAGACTGATTCAGAATGCCTGGGAATGGGGCCCAGAATTATGCATTCAAAAAAAATTCCCTGGGTGATTCTTACCTATGTTAAAATATAAAAAATACTGCCTTATGACATTAGGTATAGAGTTTAAAAGTGTGTCATACAACTGCCCTATACAAAATTGAAAATATGATACTTCAAACATATCGACAGTCAAACCTAACTTTAACAGGTTAAATTTCAGACAAGTCTTCCAATCAAAAGCAGGATTTCTCAAATACTCTCATTCTGAAACATATTGTTTTCCTTTAGACCATCAATCGTCCTCCGGAAAATACAGAAAGCTCTCCAAACAAAACTTTTCATCTCACGCCAGTTAAAATGGCGATCATTAGAGTCAGGAGACAACAGATGTTGGAGAGGATGTGGAGAAACAGGAACACTTTTACACTGTTGGTGGGAGTGCAAATTAGTTGAAACATTGTGGAAGAAAGTGTGGTGATTCCTCAAGGATCTAGAAACAGAAATACCATTTGACCCAGCAATCCCATTATTGGGAATATATCCAAAGGATTTAAAACATTCAACTATAAAGACACACGCACACGTTATGTTTACTGCAGCACTCTTCACAATAGCAAAGACTTGGAACCAACCCAAATGCCCATCCAATGATAGAATGGATAAAGAAAATGTGGCACACGTACACCATGGAATACTATGCAGCCATAAAAAGGACGGATTCATGTCCTTTGCAGAGACAAGAATGAAACTGGAAATCATCATTCTCAGCAAACTAAGACAGGAACAGAAAACCAAACACCGCATGTTCTCACTCACTCATAAGTGTTGAACAATGAGAACACATGGACGAAGGGAGGGGAACACCACGCACCGGGAACCATTGGGAGGTGGAGGACTAGGGGAGGGATAGCATTAGGAGAAATACCTAATGTAGATGATGGGTTGATGGGTGCAGCAAAGCACCATGGCATGTGTATACCTATGTAACAAACCTGCACATTCTGCACACCCCAGAACTTAAAGTATAAAAATAATAAAAAATGTTCCTTCCATGAAAGAAGTCAGGTAGAGAGGGTAGATGGGACAAAGAACAAGCAACGATTTCTTAATAACAACAAAATAAGTAATGGGAGATAAGAACCCAAAAAGGGAGAACTGTGTGTGGAGATCCAATAAAAGAAAAAAAGAATAAAAGCACCCTATAACTGAGGATGGGTGGAGAGGTAACTTGCAGCAGTGTTAAAGCACACAGCCAAAATGGAGCCTCTCAATTTTTCCCTATAAAACCCCTGCAGGTTTTCAAGACATCATCATGAGAGAGCTGTCAACTATTAAAACCATCAGAAAACTTTTAAAATAAGCCTTGAGGAAATACAAGTTATATAAAAGACAAAATTAGAAAGAATGCTTTATGACCTAACTTTAGTACAAAGATATGATCCCTTCTAAGAAATGATGTATCAAGAAATAAGACTTTTCTAAAAAGGATTTTGGTTTAAAGAAACACGCATTCACTTTCCATAACGCTGAATCTCCAGTGCACAGTCTTTAAAACTCACTCACCAGCTGTAAAGGCTTTACCACCAGATTAGGCTTCTTGCAAATTTTCTGTTGTGGCTCTTTTTGGTTTTCTGAAGGACGATTCCATGTAGTCTCTTTGACAGTAGCGGTAGACAATGAATTTCTAGGTGGACTGGAGACATAAGCTTTGGCTTCTATTTTCTTATCTGATTGAACTAAACACAAATTTCTGACTGATGAAACAACTCCATCTGAAATGGCCAATAGAACAGCCTACACATATTTGTTAAAATAGCTGTACGACTGTTACTAAGCACCTTCAACAAACCAGGTGCTAGAAAGACAATAATAAATGAGAGATACAAATCTGTCCTTGCAGACCTTTCAAGTGTGGCAAAATATAAGGGAAGTTCTAGATGGGAACAAATCTTAAATTATTTGTGCTGGGGGAGGGAAGCCTGTGATATGATAAAGTTTCTTAAACTTTAGTAAAAGAATTTTTTTAGTATCTTGATTTTTCAATTTACTTTTTGTTCAAATTAAACAGTGAACATTCTTTGTTGCTTAACATAGAGTGTATGTAACTACTCAATATTCCATAATAGAATCCCCTAATTCTTAGGGAACTTTCAAGTTAATCATGTAAAGTACACAACAAGATGATATAACTACAAGAGACTGGCACATTAAAACAAGACTCCAGGCTGGGCGAGGTGGCTCATGCCTGTAGTCCCAGCACTTTGGGAGGCCAAGGTGGGCGGATCACAAGGTCAAGAATCTGAGATCAGCCTGGCCAGTAAGGTGAAACCCCATCTCACTAAAAATACAAAAAATCAGCCCAGCGTAGTCCCAGCTACTCAGGATGCTGGGGCAGGAGAATCGCTTAACTTGGGGAAGCGGAGGTTGCCATGACCCAAGACTGTGCCACTGCACTCCAGCTTGAGCAACACTGTGAGACTCAATCTCAAAAAGAGAAAAAAAGAAAAAAAAAAAAGACTCCAGATAGACCTACAAGCATGGTAGTTCCTAAAAAAAATGAAGATATAAGTACACAAAGATGTAGGCACAAACATATTCGTCACTGTATCTTTTTTTGTGATTGTGAAAAATGGAGACACAATCAGATGTCCACAGTGGTTTTACTTTCTTACGCTATGAAAATGATGCACATTCATTTGAAGTAATACTCCATACCCATACAACACTGTTTTTCACTGTTAGAACAGTATTCAATAAATTACAGGTGATATTCAACACTTTATTTAAAAATAGGCTTTGTATGAGATGATTTTCCCAACTATAGGCTAATGTAAGTGTTCTGAGCACATTTAAGGTAGGCTAGGCCAAGGTGTAATGTTCAGTAGGCTAGGTATGTTCAATGCATTTTCTACTTATGATGGATTTATTGGGACAGAATCCCATCATAAGTTGAGGAAAATTTGTATTTATATGCTACTGTTTTGTGCAGGAAGAATTATACATGTAATAATTAGCTATATCCTGTAGAAGAGGTCCAGAAATATACAGACTAAAACTATTAATGCTAGTGACCTCTGTATTGTTGGAATTGTTTAGATAAGCATATGCATTCTTTTATGATTTAAGAAAAAAGTCTGTCTATGTCTTACATATTCACTGGAAAAAAGTCTGGCAGGCTATATAAACATTCTAACATCATTATTTTTTAGGGGGGTTAAAATAATAGAAAATGTTCTCTCTTTACTCATCTGTGCTGTTCATATATTTTCAGAATGAACATGAGTTACTTTAATAATCAGAAAAATCAATAAAGGTAGTTACTTTTGGAAAAAAAAACCTGTACATCATAACCACTCATACAAGCTTATGAAAATACAAGTACCATACTACGACCTGGTTTTGCGAGGTGTTGCCATTGGAGAAACTGGGTAAAAGGTACATGGGATCATGCTGTATTATTTCTTACAACTCCAAGTGAATCTAAAATTATCTCAATAAAAACTTCAGAAGAAAAAGAAGCCCCCCACCCCCACAAAAAAAACTCAAGTGCCCTAAACACAGTATTATCCTGGAGTGGATACAGAAACAGAAAAAGGACATTCTTGTAAAAACTAGTAAAATCAGAATATAGTCTGGAGTTTAGTTACTAGCAATTTACTAATGTTCATTTCTTAGTTTTGATAAATGCATCATGGTAATATATGACATATTAGATGAAACTGGATGAAAGGTGTTTTGGAACTCTGTACTACAGACTTAATGATTTTTCTGTAACACTAAAATGATACGAAAATTAAAAGTTTATTTTAAAAAATACAAGTGCTGGGTCCCGGCGCATACCCATTTATTCTGCATCTCTATATATTTCTAAAAAGCTTCTGTTGCATGGCCTGAGTTAAGAACAACTGCATTATCAAATCAAAAATTTACAAACTTTATTTCCTTAAGCATAAAAATATCTAGACAATGAAGAAAGTAAAAATTTAAAATTAAGATTGTTTTAATACAGATTAACCTTATTATAATGAATACCACCAGAAAGGAGGTCATTATATATGAAACATTTCATGGCTAGGCATTATTTCATGTCTTGTCTTTGTCCTCATAAAGACAATAAAAATGAGGTTTGCATCGTACTGTGGGTCTACTCACCAGGAGGCAGAGGCTTCTTATCAGCATCAAACACTACTAAGTCTTGCTGTCCCTCCCTGAACTCAACACGGAGAATGTCACTAAGAGCTCCAACAAGTTCTGTCACATTTAAGAAGCCCAATTTTTTTGGTGAAAGTTGCTCCTGAAAAATAACCTGTCAGAAAAAAAGCAGTAATTACATGAATCAGCATTACATAACAGAAATGTAACATACATAGCTGTCCTTGGACAATGCTTTAATTTGAATTTAGCCAAACTAAACCTTTAAGGGTCAATGAACTCAAGTATTACAGAGTAAAGGCTTGCTTCCATAGCAGTATAAAACAAACCAACAAACCAAGTGACCAATTATCCCTTATCATAAAACTTCTAGGTGAATGTCAAGTTCTTTTTAGAGCATGTGGTAAAGTGAAGTAAAAGTTAGGGGGGGCTTTTCACCTCTCATTTTTAACAATGTCTGAATATAAAGGAAAAGTCTTCTTTATAAAAGAGGAGAATGCACAAACTGCAAGAGTTGTAATAAAACTATTGGTATTTCTCTATTTTCCATTAAAGATAATATTCAGTACCACTTCTAACATGTAGGAAAATTATTGTTTAAACATATTTCCTTAAATTTTATTATTTCACCTTAGAACTTGGAATAAATAAGCAGATATCTATCAGTGTATTTCCCATAGCATACAGTTTTCATTTTCTTGCCTCAGAAAAGAAAAAAAGTCATACCAAATAAAGACAGGAGACAATATATATATAGAACAGACATATGAAATACATTCCCCAAACAGAAAACATTTCATATGTCTTAAAAGGACCATCTATCATCAGTTATTTTATTCCATAGTCAAAAGCATCACCAACATTATTTTAATTTATATTAACTCTTAAAGTCTTAAAACATTAAAAAAAAAAATCTTTTCCAAAAGGTTAAAGTGAAATGTTCTCCCAAAGCTGCCTTCAGTCTTCATATTTTGCATGTGCTGCTGGTATTATTCTAAGAAAGACAATAAATGTGTTGCATTTATTGTATTATCCTAAGAAATATTGTGATAAATTTGCTTATTTCTGAGCCTACAATACAAAATCTGCTACATCTAAAGAGACTTTTTTGTTGAGTAACTTCTATCTTCATTCTTTACATGCATTTCATATTGAAAAACTCAGTGTATTTTTTATGCCTCATGCAAATTATCTTTTAATACCAATTTTAATGCTTTCAGTGGAAAACCTTCTGATATGTATCCCCAGCTTGGCTCTTCAGGTAGTCTTTCATTTGAATTTTAATATCTTATTCTCAATCCTTTTGGTTTTTAAAGTGAACAAGCTTCAGTTTCCTCAATTTACACTGTGGATTTATTTTTGAGTTTTATATTGGGTTATTCGACAAATCGGTGATGAAAATGTAAGTTGCCATCTTCCAGCTTTCTCCTCTGCACCATGAGATAGATACAAGCAGATGAGAACACAGTGCTCATCTGGATTCCTCAAATCACTTTGACTTGATAGCTATTATTCAGAAATCATATTTTCCTTTAGAATTTATCTGTATTTTGGTAAACTGTAATGATACTGAGTGATCTGATTATTAAAAGGCAGGATGTTAATTTAATCAGGAACTACTTTCAAAATAAACACTTCAGTTTAATTGGCAAAAAAAAAAAAAAAAAAAAATTCCTCAGTCACCTAGTAATCACTTCCCTGAAAGTAACTATTATTGTCAGTTTGTTACAACATTCCAGAAATTATCAAAACTCAAACATGCTTCAACATAAGAGATTATATATACTAGAAACATCTTGCTTTTTTCAATTACTGCATCAGTACATGACACAGTTGAGTTTTGCTATCTAATCCTGAGACTCAGTTTCTTTCAAAAGATTCATCAATTTATTAATATGTCAGATATATTTTATCCTAATTCCTTTGTTATGCTTTCTGCTTTATTGGCTCCGAACTATGAGCAATGAAGAAATTGATGGGCTGGGAAAAGTGACTCATGTCTGTCATCCCAGCAGTTTGGGGGGCTGAGGCAGGAGGGACTGCTTGAGGCCAGGAGTTTGAGATGAGCCTGGGCAACATTTTGAGACGCTGCCTCTACAATTTTTAAAAAAAAAAACTTAGCTGGGCATGACAGCATGTGTCCGCAATCCCAGTTACTTGGGAGACTGAGGCTGCAGTGAGCTATGATTGCACCACTGCACTCCAGCCTGAGCAACAGTGAGACACTGCCTTAAGAAATTGATATATTTCTACTCCCACCCTCGGTATTTTCCTTCCAGCTTCAACCAAACTTTATTCTTTTTTTTAAGAGTTATGCCTTCAAATATGTGTATATATCCTGTTTACATGATTTTGTTTCCTCAAAGTCTGACAATCTTATAATACAAACATTTCCTGCAAATTAGCATAATGGATATCCCCCCAGGCTTGATGAGATTCATATTTGATCTCTTTGACAATACCGTAAGTGATACTGTGCTCCGAAGAGGGCCACATAACATCTGTTCGTCTCTTTATTGGTGTTGTTAGGAGCCATTATTAGTCAATTCCTAGATCCATTACTTTGAGGGTTTTCACAGCAGCATTCTGTCAATTCTTTTTCATTTGGAACACTCTAGAGATGTATGCTTCCCCTCATCTGCTCTTTGCTTATCCAGCAATAGCAACTCATTTAGGAAAGCCAAGAGTAAGTGACTGGCTCTCTTAGTTACCATTTTAAAGAAAGTGAATAAGTTCTATCATCCTCTATGTTGAGTCATTAGCGTTCTTAGTATCATATAAACTCACAGAATTAAATATATTTGATGGGCTTCAAAATACTGCAATTATTATTCTTATTGTAGCCTGAAATAATTCTTCAAGTGAATTCCTAAGCTCTTCTAATGTGAACCTATTTTTCTTTTTCTTTTTCTTTTTTTTCTGAGATGGAGTTTCACTCTTTGTTGCCCAGGCTGGAGTACAATGGCAAGATCTCAGCTCACTGCAAACTCTGCCTCCCAGTGACCCCAGTTTTTAATAGCTTCCTTGTTGGTTTGATATGACAAGATGTTCCAAGCTCAATTTATGTAACTAGGATATCCTTGTATACACAGTATGAATCATCTCCTAATTATTTGCTTTATACCAAATTATACAACAGTGGTCTCAGAATACTACCACCAATATAATGAAAACAAAATACTTTTGCATATGCTCACCATTTCTCCTTCCACCATTTTGTGTAACTGTACTTTGTCTACATTGGCAGAGTACATTGCCACTAAATGCTACATTCTCTCCCCTCTTACCCTCATTTGATCTTAGTTCCACAAATGGCATTCACTTTTAGTTCTTTTATCAATGTCTCTCTAGTGTGATTTTGGTTTTCTGATGCTCATTCTCCAGTAGATTCCTCAGAAGAGCTCATGAGAACAAGAGATCCTTAATTCTTGCATGGTGATAATACCTTGTCTGGCTCTCTGCAATTGAAAGTCAGTTTTGCTAGCTAGAGATTCCTTGGCTCATGTTTTGAGTATATAAAATAAGTTTCTCTCTTTTCACCTAGCATAAAATATTGCTGTGAAAATGTCTAATAATCCAACTTTTGTTTCCCTTATAAGTCACTTGCTGTTTTTGTTTAAATGCCCAGAAAATTTTTTTTTCCTTTAAGTCTAGAAATTTGATATTGGTCATTTCGAGTTGATACTGTCAGATATAATACAGTGTGCTCTTTCAAATATATAGTCTCAAATCTTCCATTTCCCTAAGGTTTCTTTGAATTCTAGAGTTTACTACTCATTCTGTCCCCTTCTTTGCCTGTTTAATACCTGTCATTTTCTCCTGAATCATCTTTATCTTTCCTTGTTTTTTTTTCCTAAGATTTTCTTATGTAAAATTTCAAACACAGAAAAAGTTACAAGAAGTGGATACTGAACTCTATCACTATATTTGCTATGTCATCTGTGTATCCATCCATCTACCAACCCATCTTATCTTTTATACCCATTTCAAAGTGACCTGTAGACATCAGTACCCTTTACCCTCAACTAGGCCAGCATGCACATCATTAACTAGAATTCAGTATCTGTTCACTTTTAGGTAAAATTTACATACAGTGAAATGCACACAATTTAAGTTTACCAATTAGCCCTGATAAACAAAACTGGGTAACCCAAACCCCTATTCAAGATATGGAACACTTCCATCAACCAGAAAGTTGTGCCTTTTCCAGTCACCCCTAGAGACAAACTTTTTTTCTACCGTAGATTAGCTTTGCCTATTGTATTATTTCATATAAAAGACAATCTGTGGTATATATTCTGCTGTGTGGGACTTACGTCAGCAACACCTGTTTTTCAGATTCATCCACACTTGTTCACTTATCAGGTGTTTACTTCTTTTTAATGTGGAATAGTATTTTGTTGTACAAACATACCACAATTTCTTCATTCATTCCCTTATTGATGAATAGTAGGGTTATTTCCAGTTTTGGGTGGCTACTATGGATAAAGCAGTAGGAATACTATCATGGAAGTCTTTGGAGACACATACTTTGAATAAGTATCCGAGAATATAATTATGGGTCAAAGGATAAATATATACTTATAAGAAATTTTAAGAACATTTTCCACAGTAGTTGTACCATTTTATACTCGTACCAAAAATGTATATGAGTTTATCATGTGTTTATCAGTCACTCATACCTGCATTTGTCAAGTGTCTGTTCAAACCTTTGGGCCATTTACAAAGACTTGTTTGGCTTTCTATTATGGAGCTTTAGACTGGTCTTTAAATATTCTGAATGTAAGTCCTTTGTTAGATTTATTATTGTAAAAATTTCTTCCCAGTTGGTGGTCTGTTCGATTTTAAGTGGGGTTTCCTAAATAAAAGCTAATTTTGATGAAGTCTCATTATCAGTTTTCTTTCAACTGATTACTGTTTCTGTGTCCTAAGAAACCTTTGCCTGTCCAGGTCATTAATATACTTTAATTCTTCTAGAAGTTTTAGAGCTTCAATTTTTTCATTTAGGTCTATGATGCATCTTGAAATAATTTTTGTAAATAATTTAGTGTCAGGTTGGGAGTCGGGATTCATTCTTTTTTCTTGTATTCAGTTGCATCTTGCATTCAGTTGTTCCAGCATCATATGTTGAAAATATTTTTCCAAACTTCTGGCTTTAATCTTTCCATCTTAGCCTCCCTAAGTGCTGAGGTTACAGAGACCTGAGCCATCAGGCCCGAGGCTGAAAATACTCTTATCCCTATTGAATTCCTTTGGCGCCTCTCAAAAATTACTTCAGTGCATACGGGAGGATCTCCTATGTATGCACTGTAAGGAGAGACAAATTCATGAATTTGTTTATCTACAAATAGCCTGCAAGAATTATGATGGGGACTATATTGCATCTATACATTAATAACAATAGTGAGTCTTCTCACCAATGAGTAGGTTTACACCTCTCCATTTACTAGTCTTCAACTTCTCAACAATGTTCAGTGTAGATGATTTGTTTCTTTTGTTAAATTCATTTCCAAATAATCTGACGTTGTAATAAACAGAATTTTTATAATTCCAATTTCCAATGATTTACTACTTACATATGAAAGTACAATTGATTTCTGTATACTAACCTTATATCTTTGACCTAATAAACTAGTTCTAGTAGCTTTTTCACGGATTCCTTAGTATATTCTACATGAACAACCATGTTTTCTAAAAATAAAGTTTTATTTTTATTTATTTATTTATTTATTTGGTTTTCATGCCTTTTATTTCCCTTTCTTATTACACTGGTTAGAACTTGCAATACAATGCTGAATAAAAGCAGTATGACTGGATATACTTGCCTTGTTCTAGATTTTAAAGGGGAACTGTTCAGTGTTTCATCATTAAGTATGACAAGTATATTAATAGGTTTTCACAAATGCCCCTTATTGGAATGGGGAACTTCTTTTCTATTTTTTCTATTCTATTTTTTCAGAATTTTAATTGTGAATGGGTATTAAATTTTGGTAATTCTTTTCCTGAATCTACCAAAATAATCACATGGCTTTTCTTCCTTCTTATTCTGTTAAAATGGTAATTACCTTAATTCCTTTGAAATGTTACTCTAACCTTGCATTCTTAGGAGAAACCCCCTCTTGTTGAGGGAATGCTGAATTCAATTTACTATTGTTTTGTAATAGATTTTTATGTCCATGTTATAAGAAACATGATCTAATTGGCTTTTTGTAATGTCTATGTCAAGCTTTAGTAGCAGGACAGTGTCTTCACAGAATGAGTTGGGGAGGCCAGGCATGGTGGCTTATGCCTGTAATCCCTGCACTTTAGGAGGCTGAGGTGGAAGGACTGTTTTAGGCCAGGAGTTAAAAACCTGCCTGGGCAACACAGTGAGACCCTTCCTCTAAAACAAAATTTTTAATTGGCTGGGTATGGTGGCATATGTCTGTAGTTCCAGCTACTTGGGAGGCTGAGACAAGAGGATTAATTAAGCCCAGGAATTCACAGCTGCAGTAACCCAAGAGCATGCCACTGTACTCCAGCCTAGGTGACAGTGAGACTCTCTCTTAAAGGGGGAAAAAAAATGAGTTGGGGAGTATTCTCTGCTATTTTAAGAAACAATCTGTGTATGATTAATGTAATTTATTCCTTAAATGTTTTACAGAATTAACCAGCAAAACCAATGTACATCCTTAACTTTTCAGTCTTACTGTCCCACTTCAAATAAAATATAAGAATCTTACAACCCTAGAGTTCCAGGTACTGCCCCTTTACTCATTATTCAGCAGTTTTCATATCCATTACATTTTCATATTATAAACTCAATTATTTAAAGCTGTAATTTTTGCTTTAAACAGTCATATATTTTAAGTGATCAAAAAAGGCAGTCTTTTATATATGCCCACATATTTACTACATCCTTTGTTCAATCCTTCCTGAAGATTAAAGTTCCTATCTGGCATTTTTCCTTCAGCCTGAAGAATGTCATTCAGCATTCTTAAACAGTCTGCTTGAAATTCTGATTATCTGAAAATGTCTATTTCATCTTCATACTTGATATTATCACTGTATATAAAATATTGGGTTAACAGTGCTTTTGAGTACATTAAAGATGTCATTCCACGGTCTTCTAGCATTGCTACTAATGAGAGGTCAGTCATTATTTGTATCTCTATTCTGTATGAAGTGTGTTATTTTTTCTCTGGCTGTTTTCAGAATTTTCTACTTATAATTGGTTTTCTGTATTTTTACTATGATGTGCCTATGTAAAGTTTTCTATTATTTGTTTGGGGTTTTCTGGGCTTCTTAGATTTATAAACTTCTTTCACAAGATTTGGAAAATACGGGGCCATTATTTTTTCAAATATATTTCTGCTGTGCTTTCTTGGGACTCCAATTATATGAATAGATATAATAGACCATTTGGTATTATTCTACAGACCCCAGGTCTCTCAAGTTCTGTTTTGCTTCTCTGTTCTTCAAACTGGATAATTTCTATTGATCTGTCTTGAAGTTTACTAAAGCCTTCTTCTGCCATTTCCAATTTGTTCTTAGTGAATTTTTTTACTTCAGATATTTTAAGTTATGAAAATCAGTTGGTTTTTATAGTTTCTTTTTCTGCACTGAAGTATCTTACCTGCTCATTTACTCTGAATACATATTCCTTTATATCCTCCATAAGGTTATAAGAGTTACTTTAAAACCTTTTTTGCTAACTTCTACATCTGCATCATCTCAGAGACAGTTTCCATGGATCACCTTCTCTTTATCAAGGGGTCCCATTTTCTTGCTTCTTACTACAGCCAGTAATTTTGGTTTGTATTCTAGGCATCATGATAGATGTACTGTAGAGACTCTGGAATCCTTTACCCTCCTTTGGAAAGTATTGTTTTTGATTTAAGTTTGGCAGAATTTAACCCAATATCTGCCACCCTGTGATAGGCAAGAGCTGAAGTATCTTCAGTTCTTTTTACCCTTAAAAGAACAGAGGCTGCTCTATGTGTGCCCCAAGCACATGCAGTTCAAAGGTCAGCAGAGATCTGAGCAGAGCTTACGTGCCACACACTGTACCAAGTGCCTTATTTTTAAGTCATTTAAACTTCACAAAACTTTTAACGAACATATTGAACAAATCTTGAACTAACATATTTTATGTCTATAAGATAACACATAGAATTATGTATCTTAACCATTATGCTACACTATCTTACAATATCTATTTTTTTTTTTTACCTGTAAATATACTATAGTTTTCATCGCATAGTAAAGAGTTAGGATTCTGAAGCCAGACTGCCCAGGTTCAAATCTTGGCTCCACCTATTACTGGAAGTCTAATGCTTATGCAAGTTACTTTTCTGTGCCTCTATTTGTTGTGAAAACAAAATGAACATATGCCCACATGAAAGATGCTCTGGATAGAGCCTGGCACACATCTAATGTAAGACTTATCTTTTTAAAAACGGGAAATATGGCATTATGTGAATTATTCTGCAACTTGACTTTTTTCACTCAACATTATGGTTTTTAAAATGATCCATGTTGTAGATTTATTTTATACTACTACATACAATCCCATTGTATAAATGTCAATCTCTATTTACCTATTATCCTACTGATGACGATTTGTCTCTCATTTGTTCCTATGCTGTGCTGTGCACTTCTTCGTATGTCTTCATGTATACATGTGCAAGAGTTTCTCTAGAGTGCATACGTTAAAGTGGAACTACTGGATCCCTGAGGGTGCATACCTTCAACTTTGATAATGAAAAATGCTCTCTAAAAAAAAGCGTTTTGTCCCACAAGCAGTGTATGAGGTATTCTGCTTCTCTGCATCCCCAATGACACTTGTTATAATATTGTCGACATTAACAAGATAATCTTTATTCTAATAATAACAGTTAGCAAAAATATCCTTCCTATGCATAATCAAGTATTTGTTAAAGATCATATTCTCAACTCTCATAATAAAGATACTAAAATGCAAAACAAAATGTTTCTGTTTTAGAACATAGACCTGGATAATCCACAGAACAGCCACAAAATTTCCATCTTTCACAAGAAATATAAGCCATTAAAAAATCAGGGTTGGGGAGAAACAAAACACTTACCTCATACTCTCCAAGCAGTTTAGAAATAAACAAACCCTCTGGGAACTTAGATACAACCTAATAAATAAAAAGTGAAATACAATATAGACACAACTGAAATGCTGACTGACAAAATATTAAAATTATATAAACAAATTAACAAACATAAAAATAACATTATTAAATGAATTTTAGTCATATTACACGGTTTTTAAAAAAATAAGTTTCCAGTTTTAAAAAACATTATAACAAAAGAGACTGTGATTTCGAACATTTCCAGAGTTGAGAAACCATTATTACACGATATTGCAATGCCACAACTCTCCAGAAATTCCTGCACTTCTTTAAGCCAACACATTTAGCTTAGCTCACATAAAACATTCTATAGCACAATTTTAAGCATTTTAATTGTTAGAAAAGAAATGCAATGAACACTATAGAAAACTTAGGAAAATAAAGTTAATCAAAAATAAAAGATCCATAGACAGCATTATCCATATGTACATAAAAAATGTGTATTTAATATTAAAATAAGGTCAATATTTCTATAACCAGCTTTTAAATATGATACTAAAGACATCTCTCCTTGTCAGTAAAAACAGATAAACATTTTTACTGGCCACAGATTTTTCAAAATATTAAAAACACCTAAATTTGTTTGATTCTCTATTTTGTTTGTTATTTTTCATGACAAATATAGCAATGATTATCCTCTTGCTTGAGTTCTGCATACTTGTTCAATGATTTTTAGGATAACATCCTGAAAGCAGATTTACTCTATCCCAATAAAGTGTAAAAATCTTTGTTTTCTTAATTTTTCCAGATATATTTTATATAGAAGTCTAATTCAAACTTTGGAAAAATTAAAAGTAAAAATTATTTCAAAATCCTGTGACCCAAAGGCAGCCATTACTGCAGAGAAATATCCTTTCAGAAACTCCTTATGTGTGCACATACGTTATTCATAATTTTACATGAAAGAACAATTCTAAACATGCCATTCTATAAAACCTGTTTTTAAAGTCCAACAACATGTCAAGGAGAAACTTCCATATAAACTGAGACACACATGAACTTTCTCATAAGCTACGTGACATTCCCTAGTTTAGAGAATATCCACTATTGATATGTAACTAATCCTTTAAAATCAATGCCTAATTTTTCTCTAATTTTTGGTACCATTAAAAAAAAAAAAAAGTTGTATTTACTCTTGTAATCCCAGGGCTTTGGGAGGCTGAGGTGGGAGAATGTCCAAGTCCAGGAGTTCAAGACAGGCCTGGGAAACATAGCAAGACCTTGTCTCTATAAAACTTTTTAAATTAGCTGGGTGTGGTGGCATGTATCTGTAGTCCCCGCTACTCAGGAGGCTGATGTGAGAGGATTCCTTGAGCCCAGGAGTTGGTGGCGCAGTGAGCTATGATTGTACCACAGCATTCTAGCCTGGGTGACAGAGTAAGACCTTGTCTCTTAAAAAAAGGTCATATTGAACATCCTTTAACAAGTAATTATTGCATACTTGCTCAAGTGCCTAAACAAACAAACAAACAAACAAAAATCAAGGCCTAAACACATCAAGGTTTTTGCATCTCTCGTAGTAAAATCACGACAGTTGAAATGGAATAATATAAGGCAGTACAAGCTGTAATAGAACCTGGATTACTCAAATCAGGATTAACAGCTCCCACCAAAAATTTAAGTGTACATAACTCTTTGGCTCAATACATAACACCAAAGAGTTTTCACTTACTAGTAAGGCAAAACAAATAAGAGCAACGACATGAACAGGTAATGCACGTAAAATATATACGTGACCACTAAGCATATGAAAAGATGCTTAATGTAAAAATCAAAAGAAATAAACCAAAACAACATGATTGGATAGTAACACTTGTCAGTGGGAGTACTGTTGGGAAAATCAGCAAAGGAGAAAGGACTTACAGAGTGCCTACATAAATTGGTTATGAGTAACATATAAACAAAGAACAACAAACTGCTGAAGGCCACAGGAGGCCTCTGAGGAGAAAGGCCTTTTCATGCTTCATGTTCCAGTGCAGGGTGACCTAGGCTCTGTTACCGAAGACATGCTCAAGGACATAAAACCTCTTTGTAGCACTATGGCATAGGCAGACTTGTAGGCTCCTTGTAAGGCCTGAGTTCCACCAGCTGCACATAGATAAGTTAAAGATAACCACATGTTCTTGTTTTGCAAAACTCCCAAACTGCCACTGTTATCAATCCTTAGAATGACACACCAGTTCCGGCTCACTGGTTCACTCCACCGTCACTCCACCCCTACCCTATGGATCAAAGTGATTGTAACCAAAATAAATAGAGTGGATGATCAGAGCTCGGGGCCTTTACTGCCACAGTAATAAAGTGATGGTCCGCTGGTCCCACTATCTCTTTTAATCTGTCTTTTTCTCATTCCTTTGTCGCCATCGAACTCAGGGTATCCACAAGTGACGTAGGGCTGGATCCCTACATTCTGGTGCCAAATGTGGGGGCTCATGGATCCCTACGTTTGGCACCCAACGTGTAGGGCTCATGGATTCCCCACATTCTGGCGCACCAACATGTGGGCCTCATGGATCCCAAGTATAAATTTGTTCGAACATTTTAGAGGGCAATTTAGTAACATTTATAATCAAAACATGATACCTCTGACTAGCAATTCCACTTCTAGAAAAATGTCCATGGACATCAACTGGAGCATTTTTTTCATGGCCAGAGATAAAAACAGCAAAACTTTAATTAATCATGGATCTCTACATGAAAGAGTGCATCAACATGATGGAATACCACATACTGGAATAATATTTAATGGACATGTATTAAATTGGTATTGGGAAAGATCTTGAACTATTTGTCAACAGTGATCTGTGGGGATGAAGGAAAGAAGGAAAGGAAGAGAGGACTCCTGGAAGAACTTATCTGCTAAATAGTTATATGTTAATTTTTTTTTAAGATGAAGTCTCACACTGTCACCCAGGCAGGAGTACAGTGCCACGATCTCAGCTCACTGCAACCTCCGCCTCCCAGGTTCAAATGATACTCCTGCCTCAGCCTCCTGAGTAGCTAGGATTATAGGCGCCCGCCACTACACCAGCTAATTTTTTATATTTTTAGTAGTGATGAGGTTTCACCATGTTAGCCAGGTTGGTCTGGAACTCCTGACCTCATGATTCGCCTGTCTCAGCTTCCCAAACTGCTGGGATTACAGGCATGGGCCACTAAGCCTGGACTACATTAAAAATTTTTAGGAGTATGTATTTTGTTTCTTATTCTAAAAAAATTGTCACTTAGTTTGCAGTATATTAGAAAAGATTAGATGTAAATAACTCAACCACAAAATACATATATATTTATAAATCAATTATTTCCCAGAAGCAGAAATTACTCACAAATTTTATCTTATGTTTTAGTTCTGGACTGATAGTTCCTCCAGGTCCAATTTGTGCAATAACTGATTTGAATGTGTTCTCCAGCTATGAAAAAAGAAAAAAAAAGTCAAGTCGCAGTCCTCCTGCCCAAAAACAGTCAAAGGTAGATCTAAACAATATGTAAAGAAAAAAATCTATAAAAGGAGATGTACTGCAATTAAATAGACAAAATACTGTTCTTTAGAGGAACTGTAATATTTCATACCATATAAAATACACTTAGAGTAGATAGAATCACTATGAAACTAAATGCTGAGGAATTTTCTGGGCTAACATTCTCTTAACAATTATTCTAGAGTCTATTACTCAATCCCATACTCTTACGCAGAACGAACTTTTGTTACCCTTTTCTACTTATAAATTTTCTACTTATAAAAGTATTCCATATTTATTAAAAACACACTCAATGAACGCCTAATGCAGGGAAGAGATGGGATGGTGGAATGTCACCAGATGGTGGGACAACTGGCCGTAAAGGGCAGGAAGGAAAAGTTCTGTTGTGATAGAAGCAAAGGGAAGGGGAGAAAAGGTAGGGTACACAGAAAGGCTCTGTGAACGTGGAGTCAGAAGGTACAGAGAGTTACTATCTGATAGCTCCTGCATTCTCTGTCAGTTCAGAAGCAAGGCCCACTCCTGAAAGCAGAAGGAAAGAGGAGGGAGGTCAGACATTTAAGAAAGTAGAAAAAGTGGAAAAATAATGTTCAGGAAATACTGGATGATAATATAAACTTAGCAGGTAGGAAGTCAGGACAGGAGGAAACTGAGTTAAGACAGTAGGAGTCTGAGGATTTTAGTAGAGAGAAGCCAGTGGCATACAGAGTCCCCACTAAAGTAAAATGATCATGCATGGGAATAATTAAAAAGTAAGCTGGAAGGACAGCAGGGTGTAAATGGGAAAGTAGCAGGGGACATATCTGTTTAGCCAAGGTCCAGTGAAGAGCTGCAGCTGGAGAACTAAAGCAGAGTTAAAGATCATGGAGTTATGTTCAATCAACCTTAAAGTTGATAACTCAATGTAAAAAGAAAAAAAAAGGAAGTCACAAAGATATAAAGAAAAATACCAATTGCTGAAAATCTTACCACCCAGACACAATCACTATGAATACTTTTTCCTTCCAAGCCATTTCTTTAGGTCTTCTTACTCTTACTTGGCCTGACATCACTTACAAACTGTGTGACCTTTTAGGTCTCAGTTTCTTCACTTGAAAAATGAAGATAATCTCCATCTCTCACAAGGCTGACAAGAAAACTAAATGTGGTGAGGCACATAGAGTACACAACATAACACCTGACACGTGATGCGAGCATGACCCTTACCCGCTCCTCCAGCAAGCAGCGCTCACCCTGGCAGGATTCTCCCTCTGGCACTGACTATTCTTCTTTCCATCCAATATCACTTGCACAACATTCAGCAGAAATCCCTCCAAGTTTTGGTAAGTGCATGGCTCCCTACCAAACTTCTGAGGGATTTTCCCTATTTTCACATTTTCTTGGACATTTCCATAGGTCTGGGAAGGAGAGGATTAGATATCTGGGATTACATCATTAGCTTTAACAAAAGGTTCTAGCCCTTGGTCTTGGATTCTTTACATTTCTTCTGTAGTTGCCATGAAATAATGTCCTAAAGCTTTCCCCATGAACAGTATAATCTTTCGGAAGATAACTGATCTTTCCTATCTGAACCATTCTTTGACTATTTGCAGACTCAATAACAATAACTTATTAGATTATCACTGTGCTAAGCGTTTCAGAGACCAAAAAAAAAAAAAAAAAAAGATTACCTTTGACAGCGTAATTCCTCTCAAGGCACTTATAATTAAGTAGAAAAGTGAGATCAACACATAAGCATCTATAACCTAAGGCTGTCTGTGTTATTAAGCTATAAACATACAGAAGGCTTCCTTTTAGAAGGACTTTGCGGGATGGGAAGAATTCTGCAGAGACAAGGCAGAGAGAAAACTGAAGGTAGAAGGAATTTCATAAAGGAAACTGAACAAAATAGTTTGCCTAAGGCATTGGAAAAAAAGTGAAAAAAAAAACTAAAAACGTGGATTAATGTTATATTATGGAATAACTTCAATGCCAAGCTAAGGAGTTTTTCTTGGTTATAGAGGCAAAAACAGAGATACTCCTATTAGAGATTTTTAGCAAAGGAGGCAGATTTTCAGAACTATAATCTGGCAACAGAAAATCTGATTGGATGGGTGGACAACCAGTTAGGAAACCACTGCAACTCTCTAGGCAAGAGTTTTAACTAGGGTACCGAAAGAGAACAGAAAAGACGGGATATGACAAAGGTAGAATATGCAGAAATTAGGAAAGACAGTGGAGAGGAAGGCATTACCGATTCTACAGGGGTGAATGAGGAGACCAGAGAAATAGCCTCAAGGACCTCAAATTCTACGTGAGAAACGAGAGTACTGTGAAACAGAAAGGTAGGCTTTTCTGGTTTTTAATCAATTTTAAGAGTTTGGAAAACTGGGAGGTAAATGGCAGGATGGCGATTACAGACTTGTTGTGTCTCTCTGAATCATGGCTTATGACAAGGGTCATTTGTCCATAGTTTTATTGGAACACAGCCATAGTCTGTCATTCATATAATGCCTATGGCTGCTCTTGTCCTATAAGGACAGTGTTTAGTAGATGCAGGGAACATTTAGCCTACAAGGTCCTCAAATATTTACTATGTAATCTGCTAGAGAACATGTTTGCCAATCTTTGATTTAATAAAGCAAAATGGTGAGCTTTTAGCTAGGAATAGAATGCTTCTGAAAAAAGTGAAAAAAAAAAGTTTCTCTCAAGTAAAATGTCTAAATTAAGGTGACTTTAAACTGAATGGGTGGAGATTTTCTTTAATTCCAGGAAAAGTTGGGGATATCTATAATTATAGAGAGCAGAAGTCATAATGCGGGAGAAAGAAGAAAGACTGGGAAGTAATCAGTGATTTCAACAATGCTTTTAGTCTCAGATGCTTATATACCAAACATGAAGAATGGGCAATAAATTAAGTGAATGAGACAGAACTGGAAAATGAAGATGGAAAGTGACAAAATAAGCTATATTCAGATAGGAGCTTACAGGACCAAAGAGAAAGAGCTTTAAATCAAAAAGCTACTCTCTTCAGAAAAATGAGCCAAAACATGAATAGGCAATAAAAAAGACTATGTAGCCAATTAAAGCATAAAGCTCAACCTCAAATACACATTAACAGACATAGTTATTTGCTCATCAAATTACAAAATTTTAAAAATACCCGTTTATTCATTCAACAAATATGTATTGAGATCATACTATGTGCTTCACACTGTAGAGAGGTAAATAGACTAGATAAGGTCCTTGTCGTAATAGAACTCACAGAGCTAAACCTGAATCAATCATATATATTTAATTACAATTATCATAAATATAGTGAAAAAACCCAGAGTCCACATGATCTCACTTATATGGGAAGTACACAAAAGTTCAACTTGTAGACACAGAGTAAAATGCTGGTTACCAGACACTAAAGGGTAGGAGGATTAAGAAGATGTTGGCCAAAAGTCACAAAATTTCAGTTAAGAGGAGTCAGTTCAAGAGATCTATCACATATCATGCTGACTACACTTAACAGTATATTGTGTATTTGAAAATTAAAAGTGAATTTTAAGTGTTCTTGTCACAAAAAAATGACAAGTATGCGAGGCAGTATATGTTAAATAGCTTGATTTAGCCATTCCACAATGCAAACATACATCAAAACATCAACTTGTACACTATATGTAAAATTTTTACTTATCAACTAAAAATATTTTTAAACCCCCTTCCCTCGAGTGTCACAAAAGAATAATATGCCTGAAGGTATCAGAACGGGAATGCGGGTGGGTGGGGAGGAATCTCTGAAAGAAAGTGTCTATTTGTACTGAGTACTAGCAAACGCACAAGTAAAGGAGCACACACACATCCTATGCAAGTGTCAACTGTAACAACTCTTATGAATGACAACCTAACCATATACAGAATAAGCCATAAAAGTAAACATTCCTTTCAATCAGTGATGGCTCATCTAGAAATTTATCCCGTGGAGTAATAGAGATGTGTGCAAACTTGAGCAAGATTTTCACCATAAGGTTATTTTTAATCGCAAAAACTGAAAATAGAGCAAATGCCCAACTTAGGTTACAAGTTAAATTATGGCACATTCATACTATCATTTAAAATTATATTGCATTAGAATATTTAATAATGTGGCACATTCACAATGCATGAGAGAAAAAAAAAAGGTCACAAACTAAGAACCAGAATGATTTTAATTTTTTTAAGTCAAATTTTCATGTGATAGGAATACACATGTAATTTTTATTTTCTTTTGTGTTTTCTGTATTTCAAGTTTTCTGTAATGAATCTGTATTACTTTTGTAATAAAAAAATTTAAAAACAGACACCTGGATAATTTAGAGGCATTATCTAGTGAAGAAAGCATTTTAGAAAGAGGATGTACAAGGCTAAAAGCAAAAAGAAACAGAAGTTACATCTCAGATGAATATACTTCAGACCTTTTGGCCATATGAGAAAACATTAATACTAATTTCTTACAAAGATCACAAAACTGGATCTTTGTGATCCAGCAATGCTTTCAACTGCTTAAATATTTGTCAGGTATATGCTATTGTATAGGTTTATCCCTCTCTACCCCTCACTCCCCAAACCCCTAAGTTGAAATCCTAACCCCTAAGGTGATAGTATTAGGAGGTGGAGCCTTTGGGAGGTGATTAGGTCATGAGAGAAAGTCCCCCGTGAAGGGGATTACTGCCCTTTTAAGAGAGGCCTTGGTGAGATTCCTTGTCTCTTTTGAATTGTGAGGACAAAATAAAAGACTTCTATCTATAAATGAGGAGGAAGGCTTTCACTGGACACCTTATGTGCCAGAGCCATGATCTTGGACTTCTCAGCCTTTAAGAACGTTGAAAAATACATGTTTTGTTGTTTACAAGCCACCCAGTTTGTGGTAGCTTATTAGAGCAGCCAGAACTAAGATCTTACAAATAGGATTATGTAGGGTCTGACTT